CCTATTTGACTATTGTAAGTCTTCCAAGAGCTTACTGGGGTAGCACAGTCTAAAACCAGGATATAGTCAACAAGTCTCAATCGCATATCCTTACGCCGATCATCGATGCAGCAGTAGCTCATGTTATTATGAGAGTTGCCCTCTCTGATCTATCCTCTCATATGAATTTGATTCTAGAGGGAGTGTTTGCATTAGCAGCTCTCCAGCTCCAAGAACATTCTCAAAGTCTGATTCATCAGTCACGCCTAGTCTCGATGCTACGCAAAAATTTACCCAGGACGGATAGGGAAAGCGTGCTACGAAACTTGATTGCCACTATGCTTCTCTACCAATATGAAGTAGATCGCACTAACCAACCTTTAATACAACTAGTCCCTAAAGTTGATTGCTAATGTATTCCTAGATTCTGACGGCGCATAGTCCTGGAGAACGCTGGGCTTTCTATCTCTGCGGCGCAAAACGAATTGTACAGGCTTCATCTTCGATTTTTGAATTCCGCCAGGACGAAAGCATGATACTTAAGAGCTGGGTTTATTATCACGAAGTGATATCGGAATTCAGCTTGCGGCACTGGGCCACGGCAAGCACATGGGACAGTTTCTGTACCAAGCCTCGGGCGGTGTATCCTTATGAATTTGTAATTGAAGATTCTGTGGTGAGTCGACTGAGTATCATCAGCCATATTGCAGGCTTAGCTAAAACGAGAGGCAGATCTCAAATATACTCACGTGTCCTGTCGATGTTCTCGATTTGATTCGAAGGATATGCAAGCCGCCCCTGATATGCGAAGACACAATGCGCAACAAGATTGAGGCTGAGGAAATGCAGCAGCTTACACGATATATCCAAAAGACTGTGGGTGAATTTGGGTCTTTTCATGACAGCTCAGAGACATCATTAACCAAGCAAGAGATGCTGGCCTATCTCTATCGATGCGCTGCATTAATATACTATAATCGTGTAGTAGCGGAAGTGCCTACTTCCTCATTTCAACACAAAAGATTAGTCAGAGAGGCATACTCCCTCCTGCATCATCTTGATTCCTGTGAGAGCGCGTGGCCGTTACTCATCATTGCTTGCGAGGCTGATGACGATGAACGACGCCAGCAGGCATTGGAGATATTTTCGAAAATGGAACAGGATCCAGTGAGCAGATCGAATCACATTTCTTCAGTTCGAAATATGGTTCAAGCTGTGTGGAATCAGAATGATCTCAACATCGACAGTGATGTCAGTTACATCAGGACTCTTCATGCTGTAGTTTCAACTGCACCATCATTGCCATTGTTTGCTTAATGGGCAGCCTTGACAACAATGCATTTGATGGAAACGCTGGCTCGTCTTTGGTTGAAATTTCTATTCAGGAGTTCCACACAATCTTTGAGAAGCAGTCTTAGGCTCGTATCATGGATTTGTTTCCGATGATTCCATACACTCTTAAGAGGTGTTAGTCTCGATTCGACAATCTCGAAGCATCACATAGGACGAGATCGACTAGTGTGTTGGAATCAGAACCAATGATCAATCCAACAATATTCGAATCTCAGAAATCGAGCTGATATTGGCTTGCTTAGGCGGCGCTGACTTTTTTCGCGGCTTCAGCAGTTATTTGTTTGATATTTTTCCTCGGCACACTCAAGTGACTATCACCATCAAAATGTAACCCATCGACAAGATCTCCAGCACCACAGCCGCCGAAGGCAGCGATCTGAATGGAAACAAAAAGAGCAGGAAACAGATCCCCTGACTTGAGCATGTCATCGCGCTGGTCCATCATTGCCTGTACGCTGAGCGAGATTTTCTCAAACTCAGTGCCAGTTACTTCCTCATAAGCGCTGACGATTTCGTTCATTGTTGTGCGGACTTCACTTATATGAATTCGCTTATTCTTGGTCCTTTCTTCGTCCATTTTGAGTACAGCGACGATGCAGGCGGCAAGAAAGGGCAACGAGCAGCCAGTGAAGTAATGATCACCACCATCAATCAACGTCACCCTGTGACGTTTGGGCTCAAATAAGCTAAATCCGCCTTCGAGCCACCCGTCAATAAACGCAGATGGAATAATTGTCGTGAAGCTCGTCGGACCGTTCTTATTGGCGAGAGCCATGAATTTGCGCGCAACGGGTATTGGTGACATTGTATCGGGCCATATGCCGCTGGCGGAAAGGAGTGATACGCCGACTGGGTGCAAGACGTCCACGGTGTATTCGGATGGGAAAATACGCCGAACGCCTGCCTCTTGAGCGGCAGCAAGCAGCTGCTGGTCGACAACTTTGTTTGATACGCCTGAGACGAGAGATACGATAGCGTCGGCACCCGTGACGGCACGGACAAGCGTAGGGTGGTCGTCATAGTCAACTGGAACCACGCTGGCGCCTTGAACAGACTTGATTTTGCCACTATCTGCACGGGTAAGGACTGTGACTTCGAACTTGGGCTCTGTCGAGTTCAGTATTGCGGGAAGCGCATGGTCAGCCAGGCACCCGGTGGAGCCAGCAACGATAATTTTAATAAAAGGCATTTTTAGTAATCGCGCCGGTAGGTCATTGAATAGTTTCAACTTTTTGTTGGCTGTAGGTATGGAATGAATGTAATGCGAACGGATGCAGTCTGCTTTTCAGTAATCATGGCCCGGCCTTGGATAAGGCAAGTAGTTGTAATGGGTGGCAGGTAATTCCGACGCTTTCAATTAGCTTAGGAAATCAAAGCAACTATTTCCGAAGGTATGAGCCAACTAAGTGGAACGAGTGTGGATCGGGGCATCTCTATGATAGGCCATGGACTTGAGGTGAAGTCGCCTCAACCTAAGTCATGGTGAGCTTGTCTGAGTCTGAGTCGACAGTGTCTTCCCCATAATGTAGACTGGCCAGTATCTATCCGAAGACATATATTAAGTCAAGCAGTTTTCACTTTATACACACAGTGTGAAAGTTGCTTAGACAAAGTTGCTAGCACTCGCCGAGTGGTTATGTATATTTATAGCATCGTATCTTCGTCTAGGGTAGATGTTCTCTCCTTGCCTCCCCAAACTCATTTATTTCATCACGGGTGGCCAGAAACCCGGGAGCATGGCTTTGCGTTCCACTGGCATAGATGAAAGCCTTAAGACTGACAATACTGATGCATAACCCGGGTGGAGGGTCGTGTGCATGTAATTAGTCGGACGGCTGTCCGTATTGAGCATCGGGAAGTACAGATATTGGGCAATTGATCATTTTAGCTGGAAGAGGGAAGCGGCCTCGGAAACATGACGAACACGGCCTGAATGGGGTGATGCTATGTATGGGCAAATGCGAAGAATTCCTCGACGTAGGCTCACATATGCCGAAGTTATTTAATCAGAGGTAGGCACAATAGCGTAGTTTTGCCATGGTGGAGGAGCAGTTGGGGTAACGACGAGAGTGACACCAGCTGGTGGTGCAAGCGTTTGCTAAGTTCTTGGAGCATTTTACATGTGTCATAGGTAAGGCTCCAACCTTCAAGTTAGCTTATACCCTAGTCACTACCCGCAGCCAGCTGTTTGTCAAGTTACTGTCGTTCTCTCGTCGGCAAGTCCTTTATACCAATAACAGCACAAAGTGGGTCATCTTTGGTCTACCGGTCATCTTCAAGGACTCGGAAGCCAAGCGATGCACCTGGATCTGGGTAAGGAAGTTGGTGGTAGTTTAGCTAGAAGCTGAACATCATGTTTTTAGTCATGCGATTCTCATCACAACGGGTGCAATAGATTCTCTTCACCACAGAGAAGTAGAGACAAACTGCGGTTTGACTGCGAGCGAGCGAGAATGGGAATGAGGTCACTTCACTTTTATGCCCCATGCGATTGGGTGGATCGGCTGCTCAATCCGAGGGCACTTGCACTGCGCCGCACACCAAAGAGACTAATACGAATTAAATTAGAATCCACGGGCTCTTGGCGGAGCTGGTTTGGCGATCCTAGGCAAAATTGCTTCCTTCGCTAGCATGGATTAGAAGGCAGCAGCGCTGCAGGTTAGGGAGATCATTTGATTTTTTTCTATGTTCATGCCTGGGCCACAGACACGCCTAGGTCCCAACCCTCGGCAATCAGCTTCACGAAGGATCTGAGAGAGGTTGTCATCTTTCAATGCTGTTTTTCTCAGCCGCACTTCCTTTTCTCTAATGAATTAGGCGGCTTGTAGCGGTTTGTCTGGCGACTCATACAGCGTCCACAACGACCTTCCTAGTCGAGCCGATTGAGCCGTAGAGAGTGTCCTCTGGCGACGCCGAGAGGTATTAGGTATTGCGCTAAATTTTATGGTTATTTAGATCAGGCACGGTCTCGTATGTGATGTCACATAACGTGGCGGTGACTCTTCATGGGGATTCGTCTTTTGGGTCTCGCTTGCAGCGGGCTGAGCTTTCAGCCTCGATCCGCTCGCATGGCTAGATGCACAGTTTGGCTACCGCTCCACAGTCTAGTAGTAGTACGGGAAGTTTATGGTCGCCTAGATCGGCGTACAGTACCGGTAGGGCTCAACGAAAGAATTCTGTGATGTTGTCAGTCGTGGGGGAAAAGCCATCACGGCACCATCGCGGTGGCAGTGCCAGCCCTTGCCGGCGTGTCTTGGACGGTGGGCGTATCCACTGCCAATCGCGAATGGGCGGCTCTTGATTGGGGCAGCTCTATTCTGGGGAGAACAGGGGAAGCCCCGAAGGAAGACCAACCCCTTGGCAGGGCAGACCAATGCGGCAACAAGCCAATGCAAGCCCTGCCAGGCATGCCAGCCACAACGCCGGGCGTAATTTAACCTTGAATGCTAGCTTGACGACGGGCCGAGAGACTCAGATGAGAGGGATATGTCACTGGCCGAGTGACTCTGATCTGCTGGGTCGTGAGTTTATTTAAGGAGCAGCTGGCCCTGTCCGAGATGTTCGAGAAGTGTGTTTCTTCACGACATCAGAACTACAGACCATCTCCTCTCAAAGGACCTATCATCTTGGAAAGACTACGAGTACCTCCCTAATACCAGTCCATCAACATGCACTCCACCACTCTGTTCCTCTCTGCCCTCGCGGCTACTGTCGCCACGGCTTTCCAGGCTCCTCCTGAGCCCGCACATGTTGCTGCAGCCATCAAGGCTCGTGGCACACCCGAGTGCACTAAGGTTGCCAGCTCTATCCTCCCCAAGCTGACGCCCATCCCCACGATCCCCGCGGATCTTGAGTCCTATGTCCTCTACTCCTCGGACATGATCACCCAGACCGACCCCTGCGTCGACCCCATCATCACCGGCTCCATTGGCAGTGTCTATAGCTCCTACGCCAGCAGCGCTTCGTCTTGGAGCTCCGAGCATCTTGAGGATCTCCGCAGCCTGTGGGGTGCCTGCAGTGACGTCCCTGAGATCTCTTCTGCTTTCGCTGCTATCGAGAGCGAGGCCGGCACGGCCGTCTGCTCGTCCAAGATTGCTGCTTGGACCAGCCAGCCCACCAACGCTGCGCCGAGGGAGACTGGCATGCCAATTGCTGCCGCCGCCGCCTTTGCTGGCTTTGTGGTTGCCGCCCTATAAAGGGGCACGCGTCGACCGCTTGATCAGATACGAACTTTGATCACCATAACGACTTGTTAGAGTAGGAGACAGTCTTTTCACGGCACGGCATCTCTAGAATGATCTTGAACGCAATCAAACAGGCAAATTATTTCCGCCTTTCTTGCAACAGCAAACGGATCAGACATTGCAGTTTGGATTTCATGAAACGGGTACACAATGAATTCCATGTGTCCTTGTATGGGCGCAACCATCGCAACGACTACCCTGAGCAGTACGTTGCAAACATACATTCAACAGCATATAATGAAAATCGAAGATACCCCAACACCACATTTGTCTCCTTGCAACGTGCAGATCTCCGTGACATGCCCTCTTCACTCATCCGGCCCGGTAAGTAATTCATGTGACATGGGAATGATTCTTGCTGTTAGGTCCGGCTCCGACTCAAATGTCGTGTCAAATGGCCACATGGGCCGCCTGATCTGCTCATGACCCAATCTCTTCAGATCCTGGTCAACCCCGCCCGGTGTAAGGCCAAGCATCCAATCCGAAGCCATATCGTACAGCTGCGGCTCCAAATAGCCTATCTTCACAATGACTATATCAGCTTTGCGGGGCTCCAGGTTCAGTTCTGTGAAGTCTCGCTCGAGATGGTACGGCTTGCGGAGCTTAGTAAGGATGGCGAAGACGCTGCCAACTTGGACCACCACCTCGATCCTGGCGTGTCTGTCGCCATGCTTGATGGAGTGCACCCTACCAGTAAGTGTGATGGGTCCGGCATGAAGATTGTCAACTTCTGCTCCTGCTGTGACTGTCACAGTACCTCCGACTCCGGCTTCAACTGCTGCGTGGACAGCTTCCGGACCCGGGACGCTAGCATAGATGACCTTGGGCCCGGAGGGGTCTTTGAACTCCGGCCGGGCGAGAAGTTGTGTGAGCCCCCAAGTCACGTCACCAGCACCTCCAGCGGTGGGATTATCGCCCGAATCTGAGATAAAGTAGGCTCTTTTGTCTGACCTCAGAGCTGTATCGAGACACTCGGCATACGAGCCCGTCGGTGCAACGAAGCGGAAATCTGCGTGCGCATTCCAGAATAGCCTGGCAAGCTTCTCCGCCCCAGCAGCGACTGCATCCTCATCCCATCCGGTCGTGACTACCACTGCTCGATTCCGCGGCTCATCAGCCCACGCATAGCCAACCCATATCGCCGCATCGAGAACCCCGGGACGTTCTTCGACGTCAGGAACGGCGGCATATATATGCTTGGCTGGCTCGTCTCGCGTGCTCGTCTGCTCGCCTGGCAACAAGATGGGGATGGGGACCCAAGCCTTGATGGGCCGCTGCGACCCGGCCGGCCTGTTGGTTAGGACATCAACGAGATTCCTGCAAGCTCGCTCCTTGGTTTCCATGGTGTCTTCATGCGGCGCCATACGATAGCATGTGATCAGATCTGTCTGATGGGCCAGCTCCCGACTCACATTGCCGTGTAGATCCATCGACGCAGAGACGATTGTGTCTTGGCCGATGACACGGCGCACGCGCCGGAGCAGCTCCGCCTCTGCATCCAGCATGCCCTCGACGACCATGGCGCCGTGAATATCGAACCACAGGCCGTCGATACCCTGCGCACCATCCATACGAGTGGCGGACGACACAATGGTTTCCAGCCGCGAGATGATCTCGGCTGTCAACTCCTCAAATGCATCGCGCTTCACGATCCCGCCCGGCAGAGCATGCCCGATGAGTGCCCCGCGCCAGTCGGCGGCGGCGCCGAGCGGGGTCCCCTTGTGCAGGAAAGCATATTTCGCGATGCACTCGTCCCCGCGCTGTGGGTGGAAAGCCGGTGCGCTGGTGCGCGCTGGCGAAAAGGCCGAAGTCTCTATCGCCAGGCCGGCGATGGCTATGACGGGTCGTTGTGAGGGCATCGTAGGTGCTGCGGTATCACGGTAGATGGCAGCGACTCCCTAGTGTCCATTTTACTTTCGTACCTGCGACTGTTGCGTGCAGATCACAAACGGCTTTCCCAGCTGCCGTGTTAGTTGTAGCTCATGCAGGCGGCCCCGCTTCGGCACCTTGTTTGGCAAGCTAGGCTTGAAGTCACTTACACATGGATCGCTCCAGTCGTAATAGAAGGGTCCACATTCACGATAAAAGACGAAATGATGACGGAAAGGTTGTTTGAAGTACATTCATTCAGGCGGCCAGCGCCACATTATTAAGACTTACACTATGAAAAGATACGGTGATGACCATGTCATGTCTTTAACCCCGACGAGGGGATGCATTCCGGCGCATGATCTTACCGTCGACGCACTTCGTGCCCGCCGCAAGGGGTTGCTTGACAGCAGATCCGTGGTTGCAGATGCCGAAGTAGCCCGCCTCTATGCAGACCACTCCGTCGTCGTTTGTGCAAGCAGCCGAGCCGGAGACAGGGGCGTAGAGGGCTGAAGTCGACGCCGGAGGCTGGGCCGCAGTGGCGATGGTGGCTGTTGCAAACGTGGTGGGCTTCACTGCGATGGACGACAAGGCAACGGAGGCAGACACCGGGCTTGCCGGGGCAGAAGATTGCGGGCCGGCGGCCGCTGCAGAGGATGCTGGGGCAGAATCGCTTCCAGCAGAGGCGGCGGACTCACCTGAGAAGTTGGGGACACCAGCGGAAGGGCAAGTGCCGCTGGCTGCCGGGTCGGGCTGCTCAAGGACCTTACCAAAGTTACCAGGGTTGGGGATGTTGAAGACACCCTCGACTGTGGTGCAGTCTGCTCCAGGGACGTTCATTCCGGGGAGGTTGGCGACGAACATGGAAGGGAGTGAGTCTGCGAAGCTGTCGCCGTCACTCCCATCGGTGATCTCAATGGGAGCACAATTCATGTAGAATTCACGGTTGCCGATCTTGTTGAACCAGGTCCAAGCAAAGGTCGCCTTTCCGTTCTTCATGTCCTTGGGAATGGGGATGTCGAACTGCCGGACGCACTCCTTGCCAGAGTCGTTGCCGCAGTGAGGACCGTCCGGACGACCTTCAGCGTCCGCACCCTGTGTTTCGACATTGCCAACTGCAGAAGCTGGACAACCTCCGATGATGGTGTAGACAACTTTCCAGTCCGCTGGGTCGGAGGTGTAGGTCTCGCCGTAGTTGACAAGGAACTGACAGGAGCCTCCGCCGTGAACCGCCGACCCTGTCCAGTCGACACGAGTGGTGCCGCCGGCCTTGACCGAAGTGACTCCGGAGGCCTTCTTCAGACCCTGGCACGGGAACGGAATGACAATGTTGTCCTTCGCGTTGTTACCAATCGGGAAACTCCGCAGAATATCTGGATCTGCACCATGGAGTCCAAATGGTTCAGGTGACGACATCACCATGTGAGAGTGGGCCAATTGGAGAAGAGCCATGGCGGCGATGGCAGATACTTTGACGCTCATCATTGTTGGTTAAGTTATGTGAGATTTCTGATGTGTGATTCCGTGAGGTCTGTCTTGATCGAGAGTTGCTGAGTCCTGTTGGATAGGAAATCGAATTGAACACTAACAGGGCGCAAGTTGATGGTGACCAGAAAGAAAGTATGTGTATCTCGGGCGGGAACAGTGTTGCGTTTATATACAACTGAATCTGGCAGGGAAGATAGAAACAATAGCTGTTGTTGATAATTAGGACAATAGAGCGGCATTGTTGAGAAAAGCTCAGTGATGTGAAAGAAAGGGAATGACCCTTGACAAGGAAAACAATGTTGACCCTAAACAGCTGCCTTGAGGCTGAAATGAAAAGATGAACAAAGAAATTGCTCTAGAACATTGTCTTGGTTGAATTACATCTTTTCCGGGGTATTGGAGGGCATTGCCCGAACTTGTCATGATCTGCCGCTGACCTCTTTCATGATAGGGGGCGAACTTAGAAGAATCACTGTCGATAATGAGCTATGTAAAATTGAAGAATGTCCATGAACATGCGATCGGTGAGGAAGTTGGCGTTTCGTGTCAAGCATGTCAACAATTAAAGCACTCCGTCAACTGTGTTGATGCAATGACCTGGATAGAGAAAGGGGGTGTAGAAGCAATCGAGAGTCACGAGAGGCATAGAATGCGGCGCAGACACCGACTAGAGATATATTTTAAATGACTGGCTAGGGGCCACGTATCTCGAGCTGCATCCTCAACGTGCATATGATCCGGGATTAATGAGAATGGACTGAACTGCAGCCAGTGAGTGAGGCCAGCCACGAGATTCCCCGGCGGCGAGAACCCTGATCGCCGCTAGGATAGCGTCAGTTTACGCGCAACAGTGCGCATCCATAGCGCTTACCAATTGCCAGGGATCTGGATTCGTCAGACAGAAAACCAAATTGAATGCAAGATTCAAGATCTTAGATACGATATCACTTCTACAGACATAAAGAAATACCAGAGTAAAAGGCCCTCGTCATCTGAAGTACCAGCCAACTGCAATTGACATGTGAATGTACTCAATGACGATGCTGACCTCCAGCCATCTAAGCCATCTAACCAAGTCATGTCATGGGATAAAAGACGTCATCGAGAGGCTCCCGTCTCCCGCCTGTCATTTCTTCCTGTACCTACCTACTACCTTATCCGTATCCCATAGCACCCATCGCATCACCGGAGACTAAACCGCTCTCAGCTACCTAGGTACTGTACCTAGACATTTAGGTTGTTAGGGCTGCTCGGGACGGGTTGGTAGGCATGACCGAACCGCAATGAGGTCAGCTTAGCGAGAAATGTATGGGGGCCCGATCCTGGGACCCCCTATAATCCATCTCATAATTAATCTACAGGTGCAGGTGCAGGTGCAGGTGCAGGTGCAGCACTAGCCATACCAGATCAGACTAATCCGCGAGAGTGCTGACTGCGGCGCGGCTCTCTGGTTTTTCTCTGCCCTACCGCACTTACCTCTCACTATCTGACATTCCGTCGGTGAGAACCTCTTCTTCTTCCTTTTCTCGGCCCTCTTCAGTACACCGACAGACCTGCAGTTGCGTGTTGCGCTGCGTTGACCGTGTTGCCGCCCATGTCGCCGCACCAGGACCATCACCACCACTCCGCGACTTCCGGCCCCGCCACAAAGGTGCAGTCGGCGGCCGGCGTCGAGTTTGGCTACCCGCATGGCCACCTCGGGCATCTGAATCCGGACGAGGAGGAGGCCTTCAAGAACTTCAAGGCCTATCTCGAGGAGCAGGGCGCATACAAACCCGGCCCCCCGCCCTCGCACGACGATCAAACCCTGCTGTACGTCTACGCCTGCGTCTGCCCCTTGGCTCGCTCCCCTGCCTCCACTTCCCTCTGAGCTATTCCCGGGCCAAAAAACACCCAAGAAACACTACACAAAGTAAGAGCAGGGTTACTGACACAATGTACAACCCGCAGGCGCTTTCTCCGAGCCCGCCGGTGGATCGTACAAGACGCCTACAAGCAGTTCAAGGAGACCGAGGACTGGCGCATAGCAAACCAGTTGCCCTTGCTGTACGACACCATCGACGTCGAGTCCTACGAGCAGAGCCGGAGGTTATATCCACAATGGACAGGTCGGAGGGACAGGCGGTAAGTGTCTGCACCCAATGCTGTGATACCTTACAAAGTGGCTGACAATTCGGCGCAAACAGCGGCATCCCGGTCTATCTTTTCGAGATCCGACACCTTGACTCCAAGACCATCCACGAGTATGAGAAGTCCTCCAACGACACATATAGCAAGGCCACCACCGACGGCCAGACACCTCCCAAGCTGCTACGACTGTTTGCCCTCTACGAGAACCTCACCCGCTTCGTCCAGCCCCTGTGCACCGAGCTCACAGACCGTGATAATGCCCGGACCCCAATCACACTCAGCACGAACATTGTCGATGTGTCTGGCGTCAGTCTTCGCCAATTCTGGAATCTGAAGGGCCATATGCAGGCGGCTAGTCAACTGGCGACGGCACACTACCCCGAGACTCTAGACAGGATATTTGTGAGTAGACCAAACCATTCTCCAGACTGACAGAAGCTGACCACAGTCCTGCCACGTCAGATCCTCGGCGCGCCCATGTTCTTCTCCACCGTCTGGGGCTGGATCAAGCGGTGGTTCGACCCCATCACCGTGTCCAAGATCTTCATCCTCGGCCACCACGAGACGAAAGCCGTGCTCGAGTCCTTCATCGACCCCAAGAACATCCCGAAGCACTACGGCGGCGAGCTTGACTTCAAGTGGGGCGAGATGCCCAACCTCGACCCGGCCATCCGCGACCTGGCCACCTGGGAGAACGGCTACACCGAGTTCCCCAAGGGCCCCGTCTACTGGCGCTACATTGACGATGGCGCGCGCATGGAGTGCATCGCCGTCGGCAGCGTCGACCAGAAGCAACGCTCCGAGCGCATCTGCACCATCCCCGTGGCGTTCCCCGAGGACAAGGCGAAGGGCGCGAATGGCAAGCCTGCTGAGCCTAGCGTCGAGGAGGCTTCCAAGGCGGACGAGACGAAGCTGGAGGAGGCCACCGCAGACATCCCGGCCACCGAGGCCGCGGCCACGGGCGAGACGGCCGTTGTCACCGACGGAGTTCAAGAGGCCGCGGTGCCCACCGTGACAGATCCCATCATCACCGAGACTCAAGGCGTGCAGAACCTGTCGATTGCGGACCCCAAAGAGGCCGAAGTGTCGGAGAAGGTTATTGCTGGAAAGACATCAGAAGCGCAGCCTGTTGCGGCATAGAGAGGAGCAATGTGGTGTTTTTTGAAGACGGGGGCGCCAACTTCACTTTATTTAGACTATCGACGCCCTGGTGCATCATTTGTCTTTTTTGCGTTGGACATATCTGGGCCCATGGTTTCTCGCAATGTAAACATAGTTATTTATACATATACCACAGGATCGATGGAGATCCTGTCAGAATAGGGGGTGGATCATAGACAACATGTGATTATTCCGTGCAACCGCGTGGTCTCGCACCATGGTCTATCTCTCTACGGTCTAGAAGGCCCTCATCCCTGCCTGTGCCCAAGTCTATGTGGCTCTTTAACGCCAAACCAATGTTCATAATGTGTCCGTACTCATCCTTCACAGTGGAACATCTGTCCACGTAGGCACCTTGATGCTCTTAAATCAGTGCTGGCCAGTTTTGCCAGCAGCATGCGCACCAAGATACGCACCAAGACGCGCGAGCCTCAACCTCTCGACTGGGCAAAATTGTGCGCCATGTCCTGCCCACCCGTCCTCCTCCTCTCGTCGCCGCCTCCTCCGCTTCCGTATCCTCTCCTCCGCCGCCACTCCCTGACGCCATTCTCGACCTCGTTCCACGACACGCCGTCCCGCACCAGCCACATGGTCACGCCCAGCGTCTCGACGTCGCGGTTGCGCGCCTCGTCGTCGAAGAAGAGCATCTCGGTGAAGGGAATCCCCGTGCGCTTCGCCAGCGCCTCCATGTGCCGTATCTTGCTGGAGGGATAGATCTCCAGGCCGCCATCGAAGAAGTCCAGCGCCCGCCGCGCCTTCTCCTTCTTGCCGCCGCTGCTGTTGTTGGATTTGGACGGGGACGCCTCGACGAGGTCTTCGCCGCCTGCCTGCTGCTGGGACGCCGAGGACTGCAGCGAGGGCGGCGGGACGTAGAGCAGCTTGAGCATGTCGCGGGCGAGGTCGGGGGCGTGGGTGCGGCTGGCGACGCCGAGGCGGATGCCGGCGAGGGGCAGGGTGTAGAGGATCTTGGGGACGTCGGAGTAGAAGGCGTAGTGCTCGCCGGTGCGGTCCTGGGCGGCGGCGTTGGCGGAGCCGGGGACGGCCTTGAGGGGCGGGGTGACGTGGGTGTCGACCCAGAAGGGCCACAGGGTGTAGTCGAGGTCGAAGATGACGAGCCGGGGCAGCGGCTGGTCGTCGGTCAGGATGCGCGGCAGCAGCGAGTCGGTCGTCGACGCCGAGGCGGTCTTTGTGGTGGTGATGATGGTCGACACGCTGCCGCTGCCGCTGCCGTTGGCGTTGCCCATTGACGGCGGCGGCCCGCTCTTGGAGAGCTTCCGGGGCATCGTACGAAGCTCGAGATGCCCAATATCTAAAGCTCGACGCCGACCAAGGTGGGGTAGGGGTAACCACCCAGAGGGGTACAGTACAGCACGAAGATGCACACGTGTGACACCGGCTTTCCGGGCAGCTTGGCTCTTGGGGTTCCTGTGCTAGCAGTACGGCGTCTCTCTCGTGGTAGCAATCCGCAGGGCGAGGCGAGGCGTGGCTGGCTTCGAATGTGGTGACGCAGGGCGAGCGGTAGTCAGATCAATGGCCGATCCGCGGTGGATGTTGTCTGCCGGAGGTGTAAATGGGGCCACGGAGCTTGGAGATTGCATCTATGTAGGTATCGTTGAAGAGTGCTCTGTTAGTGGAGGCTGCCATTTACTACCTTGCCCCAGAAATTCACTCTGCCCCTTCTCTCCTGTACCTACCTGAGGTATCCAATCCCCCCGCCTTGTCCGTACTGGACTAAGAAGTCAGTGAGACTGGGGCATAACAAAGGATGGAGCTTCGTCGTTAGTCAGAAAGAGCTCAAACTTGGCAGATGACAGAAGAAGCCTCCGAGAAGCCAGTAAGTGTCCAGTCCCCGGTTCCCTAAGCGGACGTACAGTTATCCCTAGCCTGCATGCTCTACTGCATAGGATTCCCACCTGCTGCAGCAATCTGCCGAAATCTCCAATTCTGCTCCTCGTGTCTATCATGGTTTGTATGTACAGATGCTGGATCATGGCTGCACAATCTTATTATAGGCTGTTCTTTGTGAGCCGACAAGAGCTACTCCTCTCACCCGCCTCGGCCTGCTCGGTCCATTGGCTCTGTCGTAATACACGACACGCCCCCCTGATTTCTAATGATGCTGTAACAGCCTCTTCTCACGCCCCCAGAACTGCCGCCCGTAAAGGTCTGCCCACTTGTATCTAAGTGACGATGGCTGAGGCGGAGGAGGAGCTACCCCACTGTGAACCCCGCGGTGCACCATGCCTTTACTGTGCCTCCATCATGGAGTGTAGCCTCCCGTCTGGATGGGGGGATTGGGGTTATATACATCGTCTAGCTCCCGCCGGACTGGCACTCTCCTGGTTGTTTCCTTCTTGATGCCTTCATTGAGCCCCTAAGCGTCTCCCAAGTCGAGTCATTACAGCCTTTGCTCTGCTTCATAGGACGACCACTACCAGTGGCTCAACATCATAGTGCCCAGCATGGCTTCCCCCGTGGAGAAGATCAACCTGTTGCGTATATCACACGTCTACTACAAGCACCAGAATGCCGAGAAGGCCCGACAGTTTATGAAGGACTTTGGTTTCTTTGAGACAGCCCGTGATGGTGCCCGTACATACTATCGCGGCTACGGCGACGAGCCCTTTGTCCTTGCCGTCGAGGAAGCCTCATCCACCGAGTTTGGTGGCACCGCATTTGCTGTCGAGAGCGAAGAAGAGCTGGAACGCGCCTCCAAGATCCTTCCCAAGGAGACAAACCCCAGCGAAGTCTACGAGTTGACGGCACCGGGAGGCGGGAAATGCGTCACCTTCTACGACCCCGTTGATGGCTTCCCTTTCCACCTTGTCTGGGGCCAATCCAAAGTAGAGCCATTGGACCCTCGTTTTCCCGAATTGAAGCCCAATTTTGTAAGTAGTCTTTCCATGTCCAGAATTCGTGGCTTTGAGACCGTAGAAGGACCGGATGAGTTTTGGGCAGGAATGGATTTGTTGATCCATTGACGACTAACACGCACTTTTTTAGCCCGAGAAGCACAACCGCGGGGTGAACCAGACACAGCGATTCGAGAAGAGACCAACACCGGTGCACAAACTCGGCCATTTTGGCATGTGTGTGACCAACTTCAAAAAGTGCTACGAGTTCTATTCGACGTATTTCAACTTTTACCCCAGCGAGGTTTGTGGCCTGATTACCCGTACCCAGAATGCTTGGCTGATGCCCCGGGGCAGCTCATCCATAACGATGCCGGCGAGGATGTCACCGTCTTCTTCCGACTGAACCGTGGCGACATCAAGGTCGACCACCACTGCTTCTTTTTCTTCGAAGGCCCAAAGATGCATGTTCATCACTCGTCCTTTGAGACACACGACTTTGATGCTCAGGTTTTGGGTCACGACTGGCTGAGGCACAAGGGCTATAAGAACTGTTGGGGTGTCGGACGGCATATCATGGGCAGTCAGATATTCGATTACTGGTAAGGCTCAAATTTCTCTTCATACTCCTCTAGGGCCGCCCACGACTAATATGCGATAGGTTTGATCCCTCCGGCTTCATTCTCGAGCATTACGTTGACGGCGACCTCCTCGACATGACCCACCCGACTCAGCAAACAAAGGCAGCACCAGACAACTTGCATGTCTGGGGTGAGTGCCAGCCCTCCAACTTGATACATAGAATCAAGAGACTCATGCTTTACAGGTCCCGATCTACCTCCTACATTCTTGACCTAGGAAAATGGGCGACGACGATATGCTGTATATTATTTAGTCAGTAGCAATATATCTATGCCATTCAATTTGGCCATTGGTTTTCGGGAAGATCTCGCAGATCCTGAATGCATGCAACATCCTGATCGAGGCAGACACATGATTGACATAAGTCCGGGTGAGAAGCAGGAGCGAAATATTGCCCAAGACCATCAATGGTCCTTCCAATTGGTTGTATGCTCAAACCTCACTTGTCATAAGAGACTGGCGAATCCGGTTACCTTTGGATTCTGGGAGGGCTACTGACAGCGGAACTGTCAGGCACCCCCGTCTGTTTCGTCCCGCGCCGTGTTATCCGCAACGAATTTACTGGTGGACTCCTCGAAACAACTTTACATCGACAAGGTTGCTCGTAGATTTGCTCGGCCAATCGATTCACCTCGCGGCACGGGGATTGCGATTTCAAACGGTCTGTGGACCTCGAGTTAACTAAATTTCCTGTTGGTGAGGGCATACGAGGGCCGCCTTACCATCAGCGTACAGACGGCGCATCCCACTGGCCAACGTTTTGCTTCAACTTCAGCTGCCAAGAGTAGAGAAGCTTTGTAATATCAGAGCGCTCGTTACAGTTAGACCTCAGTTGACACAATCACCAATGCGACACATCTTCAGATGCTGTTTTGCGGGCCAGAAACGTTGCGTCAACATGGGGGTCGCCGTCGCACCATCTGGTGGTGGGCTTGGCAATGCGATCAACGGGTTCTGCGCCCGCTGTTCTTTGAAACTTGGCGGGAATGCCTTCACACTTGAAACACCAGACGTACCCGCCATGTCTAGCATATGCTGCCGCGGACCGTGATGGCCTCCCCAGCCTCTCAGGGGACTAAAGAGGGGTTGAATGCCGGTGAAAAGAAATGCAGGCCTTCGCCTTTCGCAGGCTCTGGAGCTCAGCTCAGCTACTACTCTTCGTCTTTGAATTCTCGTGAGCATCTAGCACTAGTGCTGCACTCCAGCTTTCTGTTCCTTCTCTTCTTCTACGGGCAGGGCCTGCGTTTTTATTTTTTTATTTTATTTTATTTTATTTTTTATCGCTGTATTATCATTACCATCATCGTTTTGTTTTCTTGGACAGATCGTACAGTGGGCGCAGTCTCGCATGTGTTGAACTCCAACTGGACAAATCACTCCAATCCGCACTTATACGCGCTCGAGTTTTCAGGGAGATGACAACTCTCCCGCGAAGCGCTCTGCGGTCAGTACCAATTAAAGATCCAAAATCTTATGATCATGGCTAAACTCGATGACAGATCGAGAAGACGCGGGCGTGAACTCATTCGGCTTGGAATTGAAGATGATCTGCGTCTCGAAGTCAGAAGTGACGATGAAGACGGGGATTCGGATGATGAGGATGATATACCATCGCCAAAGGTGATCGCCGCCTCCGAATCTGATGCAGAAGACTCGCCATCCCCAACCACAACAGTATTCCCGCCGGCGGTTCTATCGTCTAGCACCTCCGTTCTGGCAACAATCACATCAACATCTACATCCACATCGATATCCCCTCCTCCTCCACCATCCTCTCCTCCCCCTCCTGCGACTACTACAGTTGCTGCCGCCGAGCCTCCGCCGGTCTTGGCACCGGCAGTCAGCGAGACTACGACGTCTACGTCTTCAACATTGTCGACGACGTCGTTGTCAACTCCCTCTTCCTCATCGACTTCTGTGGTGTTGTCCAGTAGTTCATCACGCCCAGTGGTGACAGTCACTCCTCCCGCCCGAACCACAACCATCGTCTCCACTGCCCTCCCCCCTTCAGATCCCCCTCTTGTCTTCAGCAGCGAGTCCCGAACTACATTGACCACCATCCTTCCACAGACACCCAAAGACGATGCCACTTCCACACTCACCTCCACATCCCTTGCCTCAGAGACTGCGAACGCGCCAAAGGAGTCTCAGACAACCGTTGATGGGCAGAGAGTCTACAAGGAGAAGCAGTCCGATGGACCCCCTGGGAGCATGAAGGTTGGCATAGCCTTCGGAACCGTGGGTGAGTAAATGACGGCACTCGATCTAGTTTCTCGGGCCATCTCCCCGGCAGAATTGCATCGCTTGCTAACACAATCAAAGCTGCCGTATCACTCGTTGTCGGCATTCTATGGTGCGCGTGGCTCATCAAGAGGAGACGGCGGCGGCGCAACAGGGGCGAACGCTTAGCGGACGAGACCAGCTTTCAAGATGGGAGCCGAGGAGAACGGGGCGCCGCATCTGGTTGGCCTGCCGCGGGAGCGATGGCAGCTCCGACCGTCAAGCGTTCCAACGAGTCCATCCTTAACGAAGTCAGGCAAGCCGCTTTCGGTTCATCCAATAACAACGGTGGCGTAGAACCAAGGCAGCAGATGGCCATCGCTGAACTCCCTGCAACCCCATTCGGCCCGAGGATACCGCATGGATTCGACGAGAAAATGCACGATCCGTCCTACCCCCTTCCGGTCCTCAGTCCCTCGCGAGTCGAGCAGCCATCAATACGGAAGAGTATTGCCAGCTGGCTGCGGCGAACGAGTCGGCATCACCCGCTGCGCCTCAACCCCCTGGGTGGAAGGTCCAACAGAACGAGCATGGCATCGAGCATAGCAAGTCGTGATGATCATGCTTTCCGGACGCCGAGTCCTGGCGAAGACGACGTGCCGCCCGTTCCTACCATACCTCCTGTAAACAGTCAAGCGCCCGGGTTGGCACAGCCCGCGCCGACGGTTAGTAAAGACGATGCGGCGGCTTACTATAGGCACTTGCAAAATGGATCGAAGCCTACACTGATACCGTCTGTCACGGATGTGTCGTCAGAAGCAGCAAGTGTTCAAGACGTCTCTCCCGTCGAAAGTCGAAGCAGTGGTGGGACTAGGAGACAAGAGCAGTCCATTTATTCGCTCTACGCAAGCACTGACCTGGACGAGAAGGCGTATCGGAATTGAGGGCACTTGTGTTGGCTGATGTTCACTGAAGGTTAGAGGGACTAATGGAATGGGTGACATGTAGAAAGGCGCGGCATTAGCGGAAAATCTGTGTGCATCTCTTGTTAGCGATCGAACAGCAAGTGTGTCTTGGGTCAGATATGAATTTGGTGTAGTCTAGAGTTATTATGCTCGGCAGCTCCAGCAGTCATCTAAATTTATCCTTGGAGTGACTCCAGAAAGCACGTCAAACTGCCCACATTCCCCTGTCCTCCGTGGGAAAACCAAGCGTGTCATGTTGCCGCATGCCTGCATGGAGGTATCGTATCCATGCCCGGAAGCTTCATCCTCAGAGTGTGGGCCGAGGATCTCAAGTGAAGTGCTGAGTCGCACGCTTTTCCTGCGGGGCTTGAATGCAATGAACACCAGCCGCCCCCCACAGCAGACAGACAGGTAGGCATCTGCAGCTTAGATGTCCAGGAGCACAAGGGCGATAGAAATAGCCGCTGGGAGGGCCTGGACGTAAAGGATCCGCGGGCTGACTGTTGAGGCGCCGTACAAGCCGGCAACGAGGACGCAGCCGGCAAAGAACAGCTGGATCTGGCTCGCCACTTCGGTGACGGGGTGCAGGAGTCCCCAGGCGAGTCCAGCGGCCAAAAAGCCATTGTAGAGACCTTGGTTTGCTGCGAGAACCTTTGTCTTCTCGGCGAAGTCAGCCGTCAACTTGAAGGCCTTGCGACCGCGCGGAGTGGTCCAGAGGAACATCTCGAGGACGGTGATGTAGACGTGGATGCCAGCCACTAGGCCTGTTGCTATGCCTGCGAGGATTGCCATTGTGACGCCGGCCTGTATGTTTTGTTGTTTAAATTAAACAAGAATTGTTTAAAATGGAGAGAAATGAGTGTCGGTATAGCTGTCTGATACCTCGAGGAGATGGCTTGTGCTATGAGAGGAGATTGAAGCTTTTTTCACGGCTTATGAGTGAGAAGGCAGATGTGAAGTTGGATCATCGAACCTCGGCGCATGTTAAAGCTGCCCCGGATCGGGGGAGCCTACCGCTGGAATGTTACCTAGTCCACAGGCCAAGGATCCTGCCAGCACCTAAGCCAGCGCTAATTCGAGGCGCTAATGAAGGGAGGCCAGGAGCAAGCCGCAAGATGGGTCTTGAGAAGTCGTTTTAGAGCACTTGACAGCCGGCGACGCCGATGAATGAATTGGCCTAAAATGACAGAAGCCTTCAGGCTCAGCAGGGTGCCAGATCATTCAATATCAAACCTGCAGTCGATGAGGATGCCTGTTTCAGATTCTTTGACACATGCAAATGTTTCTATCGCTTCTACGAATGGCTGGTCTCTGGTTGAGCAGCTGCGAGCCTCTCTCTTTCTGCAAGAGCGCGCCGCATGGGGAGAATTAATCCGCGCCGAAGAGTCGTCCGAGGTTCCCAATGACATCTTCCACTTTGTAGTATCAATAGCGACTCCAATGCCATACATTCGAGAAGGGTATGTTTTCTGATGGAAAGCTGCTCAAGTCTCTTATTGAATCCTCCATGCCAAGGTGGGATCCGAGAATCATCCAAGAGTCCCAGCTGTCTTGACTCCCACTACACAGCCAATATTAGCAAACCCCAGAAGGATCGAAGATTTCCGCAACACCTACCTCGAGTCGACTTGGTATTTTGCCCCATGAGTAAATCCATCGCAGCTCGAAAGGGAATTTGGAATAGAACTCGAGCCGCTCCTCGGGAGGCTCGCCGATGCTATAAGCAGGGGCTACCTGACGTGTCAACTTCGTCCATTGAATCTGCTCCGTCGAAAGTCGAGCCTCGATGATCTCTGTGACTATGAATCGGCCCTTCGGTGCTAATTGGATCTTTCTCAACGGCTCATGCAGGAGAGCTTTTTCTTCCGAATCGGGCAAGTCCTTGTAGAACGTGCGGTCCATCCCGTATCGAACGGTAACAAACACATCTAGATCAGAGAGCAGCTCCGGCAATCCTTGTATTGTTGACCAGATACCTCGCCATTCAGCCGACATTGCATCTGTAATTTGCTGTGTGCGGCTCGCCCTAAAGGGAGCTTCCGAGCCCCATGCAACACACAGGGCGCGAATGTGAGCTTGATTATCTGCTGGCACAACTGAGAAGAACCTGGAGAACACAGCCCAGTCATGGAAGCTAAACTTGAGGCGCGAGTAAAGGATCGGAAGAAACTCGCGATATATGAAGCGGGAGGTCAGCAACAGTGATAGCCATCCACTGTGTGCACGAGGTTGACAGCCTATTCCGGACATGATACAGGCAAGATGGTTCGGAAAGTTGACCCATCTGCCTATTGAGGAGTACTCCTGAGCATGTAGTTCCGGTAGAGCGGCTGCTATCCATTCAACGTCTGTCATGTGGCGGCATGCGACGCTGTAAAGTTTATCCTCCGCTTTCTCATTGAGAAGGCATCCTGGACGGGAAATATGCAGCATTGACGACGGGACAATGCAACTGAATATGGCGTGGCGGATCTCAGTCGGCAACGACAAGAAGGACAGCGCAGGCAGTAGCTCTAACGATTCGCTCGATGACTTGGCCACGACGGCCATGGCTATTGTGAGGTGGCACGCAAAGTATCAACGCAGCGACGGCCAGATCATGAGGAATGCAGCACCGGGCGAGAGCGGCGAATTATACGGCGTACAATTCGCCGCTTCATGTTGGTTGAGGTGAAACGAGCCCCCACGGAAATGCAGCCAACCTCCGGCGACTACATTTCGGGGGCCGCTGGCAGGCCCTAGCCCCCAACTCAGATACCTGTTGGTTCACGGCAAGAGAAACCACGGTACCAACAACAACAACTGGCTTGTAGCTGGAAACAACAAACGAAGAGACGTCACTTTCTCTTTAATCCAACAGATGAGTTACACAGTTACTTTTATCCAGCGGGGAGAATAGGGTTCAAATGCCCACCTTCTTGACTATGTTTTGTTCATCGACTGCGCCTATCTATGGTAAATCGCCAGCCAGTAACGGTGCATCCTCTAATTCTGGCATCATGTACATCACACCTCCGTCTTCTTGAGGAATATAACCAGTTTTGTAGCGAATGAAGATAGCCAGAGCGAGAAAAGCACATGTGTCAGCGTGACTCTGGTCCTTGCACTCGCCTGCCAATTCCCAGCCATAACAGTCTCCGTCCTTGCCATCAGTAGTGTGTCCATTGTTCAGCAGATGGGTGAACTAAGACGTCTATTGTTAGTCACAGGAATATTTTGTTTGTCTGACAGAGTCAAGGTGGTAGTTTTCACTTGCCTCGTGGAGAAGAACATGCTCAAGCGTCGCGTAAGCATCCATGGCCGTCAAAAGCTCTTCGGCGTCGCCATCGCTCTCCTCTCCAGACAGCGGGCTAAGGTTGCCTATGTTCGCCTTGCTATGGAAGGTCTCCCAGATCATGTCCTCGGTGAGAAGACCATTGCCTTCTGCATCATTCCTGACCAACTCCATTTGGCTCTCGCAGAGCTGTATAACCTCAGGATAGTCCCCTCTGTCGTAATCATCCGGATTCTCTGAGTTCTCATCTTCGACACCTTCCTTCAGATTAGCCTGAAGCGTGACAGCTCGCGTGGCCATCAGGTCTTTGTCTTTGGCTTCTAGGGCGGCTGTTCCCAACCGACAAGAATCAGAGAGAACCAGGCCTGATTTTGGAATCTGGGCCTTGGCCGTGGGGTCAAATAAGTATCGGTCATCGTCTGTCTCTTGGAAACGGCTGAAATCGCAGTGAATTACGACGTCGTCGAGTTTCGGTTCGATAATTGCATCCCATCCTACTTTGACTCGGTATGTTTGTTTCATTGCTGCAACTTTCTGGAGACGATCTTGGGCGTCGTATCAGCAACTTGATCGTCAATAAATCTTGAAATGGCATCTAATGTCTCACCTCGTACTTTTGTGGCCGGTTCCTGGATGGGGGTTCCCAAAAGATAAACCATCACTTCGTCAAGACTAGTGTCTGGGGGTGGATCTTTATTCAAGTATCCGACAGCTAGAGATGCTCTATCCCACACAGCCGAGATAGCGTCTTGAATAACTTGCGGATCTATGCCAAAGACATTTTAATTGACATAAACTTGATACTACAATACTAACAACACCTACGTGAGCATTCTCGGCCTAAGTATATTGTAGCTCCAATAACAGATTCGTGGAGTAAAGACAAGAGCAATATTATCAGAGGAAGATGTGAGTTCATGGCGGTTAAGCTGAAATCAAGAGCACTTGGTGGTTTGACTTGAATGGTGATGTGAGGTACCGCCAAAGAAGATATTTCGACCTTGCCTTCGCACTTCTTTATACTCATCAACTATGGAGCTCGCCTCAGTGCTCTTGTTTGTTGGCGAAATGATAAAATATAATTAGATTTCACGAACCTCCTCTTTCTTGTATTGGTTATTTTCTTCGGCAAGACTGGCATAACACAAGATCCTACTCCGTGGCAAGTGAAGCCGCCATCTGGTTTCACACATCTATGAGTGAATATAGAACCACTAACCATCTACTCTGCCTGGTTAAGCGTTACATCAATCAACCTCAGCCTCACTCACGGCATGCCTATTTGAACTAACAGCATATGGAAAGCCAGAGGTTGGCAATCATCATCACGTCCTCTAATTTCAAGCTTCAAAGTACAATTTACATCGTAATAATTGAATATGAGGTGTAGAGTTTCAGTCAAAGGTACACTTTGGACTCACAAGGCAGAGCGTTGCTTTCGACTATCTATGTGGTCTAATACCCTAACATACACGGCCCCCAGCCTTGGCGGGCGCTTGCATCTTGAGCCGTTGGCTCCAACAGGTGGTAAAGCATGTAGCGTGTCCTTCGATTTGATAGAATCTATGCCGGTTGCCAAAACTCAACTCACGGCCCGTTATCTATTTTCAGTCGTGATGATCCATCAGCTTGATCGTCCCAACCGCCCCAAAGTTGGCTGATGTGTAAGAAAATTGTCGAGATGGCTGTTGGCCGCTTCGATCTTAAGATAAACACACGCACCAACATCATAATAATGGTCATTCAATGACTGTTCGCCACCTATGAATGCATAAAGCATCACAAGAAAATAGCGGGTTTATCGCTAGGTCAATGTATTTAAACGTCTAAAACCCACGCAATAACCGTCACTCCCGAGTAAAGACAATAATACATGTTACATTCGTTGTCTCAAGCGTTTTCCCAAGTTTCTCTATACGCTACTACTCACTCAACAATATGCGGTGTTTTATGATCTTGCACCTTTTACTCTCGTCTATGACTGTGTCACTAGGAGCTGTCATTGATCTAGCTCAAGATGATCAAACCACCACAAGAGTTCCTGTGACGCATCATCCTACGGCCTCTACAGCTGTCACGCTTAAAGTCACTCACACTGCCAACGCGGCCGCGCTGCCAACATTTTCCGTCCAAGGATCGAGATCTAGGAAGTTGTCCTCCACAATGCTGCCACTTGCGCCAGGCATCAAAAGAGCTGTCACTCCCTCAGTGCTCAGTTCCACTCTGGGGAATCCTCCTGACATCGTCATCGGAGCTGTGGTACCGACTGAGTCTGGACAGATTGGAATCAATCCCGTGGACTAGTGCGTTCTCGCCACCATCACAGATACATAGCTAACATTCGAATATAGCACCCCGAAGATAACAGTGAATACGGGCTACTTAACTGAGGTCTTCACCGCTACTCTCAAAGGCTCCGGTGGCGCACCTTCTGCTACCACCACTGGCCCACCTCTCGTCACTGCTACAGTAGTTGACGGTTCTCTAAATATCTTCCTGGCGCCGGGTTTGATGGATAAGCTGACTAAAATCGCGGATACTATCCCAGCATGTGCTGCGAAAAAGCGGAGCGGGCTGTGCGACTGGAGGGCATTTCAGCAGGCTGCTCAAGACGTTGAAGCGGGAATTGACATCGAACTGCTTGAAGCTCAATTGCAGGGTTCTATCATTGAGGCTATGGGCTGGGTAGTGGATGGCACTGTGAGTTTTATCCAGCTCTTAACCCCAGCCACCATGGCAGAGTTGTACACGGCTTTAAGAGCTGCGGGTATTCTAGCGGCCGGTGCGTTTACGGTCTCTCAATTCCTACCCGTAGTATTCAACATCATCAAAACGGGAGCGGCGACAGCAGGAGGCGTTGCGTTCGCAACGGATGCAGTCAGTGCATCCAAAACAGCAGTTCAAACAGCAAATGATGAAGAGAACACTTGCTCAAAGACACGAGAAAAATCTGTAAGGCCCCCTAAAGCTGTGACCGCCTCGATCATGGTAGCTAAAACAGTGGTATTAGCCAAGATGTGGTGGTGATGATTGCCAAGGTGATACTAAGACTCAGATCTGTACAGCGGTGAGTGGCACACTTCAGCTAATATGGAATGACCTAATAAACTCTATGAAAGGGGAAGTATAAAGGTTGCCCTTGCTCAAGGGAGGTAGCTATGGTAGCACAATACCGACCACTGCAATGGGAACTTGATGTTAGAAAGATCATGCAAAATGATTTCCCAGAGTTTAGTAAGACACAGGTCACCAAACCACTGGAGTGTCGCACATACCAGAGATATAACTTCAACATCGATATATGGAAACAGTAAGATGCCGGATACTTACGGATAGGACTTGACATCAAATCAGGTGCTAATATTTACATAGAATCGCTTCTACATTTTGTACTGGTCCAGCAAGGGGTTTGAGGCAAGAGGTGTCTCACGCTTACGATTACATCTACAAGTTCGCGTTCAGCTGGTCTCCAAACAGTAAGACAGCGAACGAAGGCTGTGACTACGCCTGCATTGACATGTTCGACTATTTCTTGTCCGACTCGAAGCTTGGCTGTGAGTATTTCCTCAGCTTGTGGCTGCTCAAAACTGACAGAGGAGCTTGCAGGCATGATAGACTGGCCCAACACAATTGTTGGCGGCGGAACAGAGGAAAATGTTTGCGGTACCGCTAAATGGGGAGTTTCGATTCCCAACGCAACCTACATTACCCCAACTTCCGTGCCTCCAGAGTCTACTGCGCCACCGACACCCGTACCTACTAAGCCTACCTTCTGCTACGACAATAAGAAGTGGAAGAATCACGGTCCAGTCAACGGAGACACTGTGAATCTCTATGTAGATGAAGCATGTAGGTTGTGGAAGGACACAGATGTTCTTAGCATTTCTTCGGGGTTTAAGTACGATATGAAGTGGATCAAAAGTGGTAATTGGTACACTACTTACAACTATGCCATATTTTGGAGAACAACAGATTCCAACTGCATGGATCCTGCCACTACTGGTAAGCGGGTAGCAATGGACGTCTGCAAGGACTTGCTCTATCGAGCTTGGAAGGACTGTAAGTCCAAATCCCGAATTACCTAAGAAACAAAATCTCACAATGCTACAATGGCTGACATCATATTCTGACAGGCAACAACGGAGGCAGCGGAGGCTATTTTGACGTGGGTTGTGTCAGATACGAATTTCGACCTTACGCGTATTTGGAGTATACTTGTACAGATTGTAGCCTCTAAGTGAAAAGATGAGATGTGTATCGATCGCCATGGCTTATGGGCTCTGTGTTTAACTGAGCCACTGGCCTTGTATCTCGTTTCTATTCTCAGCTTAATTTATCAAACACTCTACACTCAGAATCCATAACTTGAACTCAACATCGCCTGGGAATAAGCTGAAGCGAAAACATACCGACATATAATACTGGCGACTTTTCAAATACTGATCTTTCTCCGGCGTAGAGGGCTTGGCGGTCGCTAAGTCACTCACTTAATTTATCCTAAGCAGAGTCGTACCTACTTAGTATATTGAGCCTGCTGATCATAGTGTAGACAGATCTTAGAAATCAAATGCCAAAAAGGGGACAAGGCGTTTCTAGATGTTGCGATACGAACCAGATCAACACTATAGACTGACCTTAACGTGACAGCAGTGAGGTCACCGTTAACATTCTAGAAGAGGAGGATACCCAGTCACTGTACTGCTGAGAGTTGCCAGCTACGCTTTGGGCATTTAGATGTAAAGTATCTGGCATATTACTGATTCTGCCTTGATTAGTTTTAAAATCGATTCCTTCAATAATACAGAGAATTTTGACTTGTCTACAAAGAATGGAGGAAAAGAATGGACCACTTATACCCGTATTCTATCCACCCAGCTCAATTATTGTGATTGTCCACTAAGAAGATTAATGTTGTATGTACCAGGTGTAAAATAAGCCTGGCAAGTGGTATCAGCGCTTGGCGTGCAACATGGTAAAGCGAGACCGAGAATCGTTCTTAAAATTTGGGGTAATACGTTCGCTATCAAATGCCGAGAGCACATGAATGGAATAAGTGTTCCTGCCGAGATTTGCCAAGAGGAATATCCTCTTATTTGTTCTTCTTTTCTTTATCATTGAGACCTTTGGCAGTGCATCACATTTGTTATGAGCCAAGGCCTGCGATTGCGCAATCAAAATTGTTGAAAACAGTCAAAGATCAGATCTACTCCAGATCAAAGACAAACAATTGTACACATATAAAGCGATGGAAATGTTGGAGCAGCGGCCCGCACCAGGCTTCATCTTCATTGAAAGATTTCTCCTAGCAATCGCCATGATTTTTCCATTGAATTTTATTGCTCTCCTCAGCCTCAGCTGCCTAGCGCCTGGAGCACTGGCTGTCAGCAATTCAGACATCATTGCTCATACAGGTACTCCAGTTGGGCAAGTAGAGGTCCATAATGGGAGTAGGTTAGCTGCGGCATCATCTAACCAGTACTGACGGTTCTAGTCACCATGTATGTGACCCCCACGAAGAATCGCACAACCTACAGGGCGGTCTTGTACCTAACCGACGCCTTCGGACTTCCTCTGATCGAGAACAAATTGTGAGTGGCACACCCATCTGTATCCTGTCAACAAGCTGACACGACTACCTCTAGGCTTGCCGACAGCTTTGCCCGCGCAGGCTACCTAACGGTTATGCCTGATATCTTCTCAGGGGATCCTGCTCCCCACGACATTACATTCAACTCGAGCGAGTTCCTAGCACGCCATACGACGAATGCGACTGACCCAATTGTTGCCACTACCATTGGCTATATGCGCCAAAACTTAGGGGTCAAGGTACTCGCGGTAACTGGGTACTGTTTCGGCGGACGCTATGCGTTCCGCTTCGGGGGCGAGAATCGTGGGACGGATGTCGTCTTTGCAGCACATCCTAGTTTACTCGAGGATGATGAGGTTTCTGGTGTGAACGCCCCTGCCAGCATTGCCGCTGCTGGTGAGTATTTCTCTGGACCCTAACCTTCACTCGGCGTTACATGCTCTAATATATTGTCATTTTAGAGATTGACCAGTTGATGCTACCAGAGAGGAGACTCGAGATCGAGAATCTTCTCGGTGAGAGTTTGAAGCCATTCCAGGTTAGTCTCTACTCCGGTACACGGCACGGATTTGGCACTCGTGGCAATATCTCAAACCCGGAGGAAAGATTTGGCAAGGAAGAGGCATTCTTTCAGGCTGTCAGGTGGTTTGATAAATGGGCCTAAGATTCCATGGCTCATATCTCATTCTGCCTCGGCGTAACCTTAACGAACAGACAATGTGAATATGTTTAGTTTGTGTCACGGTCTTAACGAGTCTTTTGTATATTCGTATGTTCTAGTAAATTATACAATTGACCTGCATGATCACTCTGCACGCCAAGTTGTGAAGAGATGTCTGAATTTTGAAGTCTAAGTTACGTGAATTAGATGCAGCTGCCCGCCACTATCATGTCATAACCTCATCATTGAACATTCGAGACTGCTGAGACTAATGAGAATGGCACATGAGATGATGCCTTGAGCATTTGTATATAAAGCTTTTTGTAGTCAAGACGTATCTTTATCAACAAAATAATATCCAGTGAGGCGGTCGCTACGGGATATATTGTACCAGAGAATATAGGCTTATACAGAGTTCATAAGACCCAATAAGTCTTATAACACACTACCTCGTAGTATATCGTCTATTGCAAGAATAAAGAAGTCTGTCACATACTGTAGGCATCATGCAACAGCTTGCTGTTGCTGTCCACAGAGTAAAAGTCAGACATATCTATGATGAAAATGATGGTAGTTTTAGATGGCGATGAGTCAGTAATGCATGTCTAGATGCCATAGATCATAGTAGTGGTTTCGACGGTTCCGCAGGCCATATTGAGCTGGAAAAGCAAGCGGGACGAGACGGTGTGCTCCGTCAGTTAGCTCAAGACCAGCAAATCGCAGAAATGTCGGTTGTGGTAAAGAGCGATTAGAAACCACCAGGAGCTATTTGCGACAGACCTGTACTGTATAATTTCAAGGCAGAGTCAGGGCATTTTTGTCGTTGCTCTTGCTGGGCACGCGTGCTAGACACATTCGGTTGATATGGCAACTTGTGTTGTTACCCAGCATTGTGTATCCTTACACTTCGTAGAACATGTAGCTTACCTATATATCAAACCAGGCTACACTGCAGACAATACCTTTGAATCGACATAATGCATGGATTTGCGGCTGTGAGCGGGGACCTGGCCGGCAATTTCGGTCTCGGTCTCGCTATTAAGGGTTACCACGATTATGTAAGTCTTCACCTTCCTTGGTATGTCTTTGCTAATGGGAGGGAGCTTTGGCACCTCCTTGCTCTAGATTACTCCAATCACACACAAGACCTTCCTGTAAGCACTACGGCGTATCCACTATCATAAGCCGTGTGGCGTCGATCTTGTGGGGTATAAAGATCGGATTGTGCCTGTAGACAGGTTCCGGTCTTGCATCGGTTCCGGCGGCTCTAGCCCACACCTTAGCACCTAGTCACATGAGAGGTTTTTTTTTACGGCCCGACTACTAATCCTTTTGTTGGCTAGGCCAATCCATGTTCAAGAAACACCGCGAAGCACGTACATCGCCCAGCCAGGAAAGAGATCATGATGGATTCCAGAGAACGCACCTCCAGATATTTCACTGTCGCTGGAGTACCTGCGCCTTGACACACTGTGTTTGTAGTACAATTTGTGCTTTTAATTAGTCCCAGTCTCTACAAATTGAGCTACATAAGTCTAGGTACTTTGTCAAAAAGATCAAAACCATTACCAACTTGGGACTACTAGAACCTGGAATAGCCAGCTCAGTCTGACTCCCCATATTCAACATATAGAGGTCTAACATAATATCCCGAACACTAGTCAGATGATGCCGCCGGAAGCAGGTGATATTAGCAGCCGGCGTGGAGTGATTTGACCTGAGGAGTAATATGCTCAACAAAAATTCCACATTTCATTTCTGGTGCGTTCTTGAATAGGAGAAAAAGCAAATAGCTTTACTTCCGATAGATCTTCTACTCCCTCCCCGCTCGGGAGCAATCGTAATTTTCTCAATTAATTACCTATCAAACACTGCATTGGCTGCCGGCGGTATCCTTCCTTGTATAATCAGAGCACTTTACAGCCTACATTGAGCTACTTCCACTACTGTTTGTGGTACCCACTTGAAAGCTTGAACTCGAGTCTTTCATAAAGCGAGATCCACTGTGAGACCCTGGATCAGATCTTCGTCCTCCTTTGATACACCGCACATCCAACAATCTAGTCAGGATGTCCTACAATCCTAAGACCGATAGCGTAAGATATGACACTCTCTAAGCATCGTGAAATAGACGCATCTCTAACATCAGTTGCAGAATCTATCCTTCATCCTCAATAAACCCCTCGACTTGATATTCGCAGAGAAGCCAGTCCCTAAATTGACCGACCCTCACGAGGTCCTCGTTGCTATCAATTATACAGGAATCTGTGGGTCAGACGTGCATTACTGGTTACATGGTGCTATTGGCGACTTTGTTGTCAAGAGCCCTATGGTCCTGGGCCACGAATCTGCTGGTACTATAGTTGAGATTGGTCCTGCAGTGACGTCCCTAAAGGTTGGTGATCGGGTTGCACTAGAGCCTGGATATCCCTGTCGACGATGCGCTCAATGCATGAGCGGAAAGTATAACTTGTGCCCTGAGATGGTCTTTCCAGCTACTCCTCCATACGATGGCACTCTCACTGGCTTTTGGAAAGCCCCTGATGACTTCTGCTACAAGCTTCCAGAGACTATGACCATCCAAGAAGGCGCGCTCTGCGAGCCCCTCGCTGTAGCTGTTCATATCGCCAGGCAGGTCGGGATCAAGCCCGGCGACTCAGTCGTTGTCATGGGTGCCGGCCCTATTGGTCTTCTATGTGCCGGTGTGGCTAAGGCCTTTGGTGCCAGTATTGTCACATCAGTTGATATTGTAGAGTCTAAGCTGAAATTTGCTAAAGACTTCTGTGCGACGCATACATACCTGTCCCAAAGGGTCAGTGCCAGAGAGAATGCTCAGAATATACTAGATTTAATCGGCCTTCCTGGTGGTGCCGATATCGTTATCGAAGCATCAGGCGTTGAGTCCTCCATTCAAGCCTCCGTCTACGTTGTACGCAATGGAGGCACCTACCTCCAGGGAGGTATGGGGAAGGCTGACGTCAATTTTCCCATAATGGCTTTGTGTGCTAAAGAAGTCACTGCGCACGGTTCCTTCCGGTATGGAGCTGGTGATTGGAAGATCGCGGTTGATCTCGTTGCCAGTAAGAAGGTGGATGTTAGAAGGCTGATCAGCGAGATTGTTGAGTTCAAGGACGCTGAAAAAGCCTTCAACAAGGTTAAAGAGGGACAGGTCATCAAAATCCTCATCGCCGGGCCCAATGAGAAGAATATTGCCAATTCCTGTAAGGAATGATGGAGAAGGAGAAAAGAAACAAAGACCACACGATTTCTCCTTGAGTAGTGCCCCTGCGGTGGGTGGGACGGAGGTTCAGTCCCATGGTTGAAAGTACCCATATGATAGATAAAGCAGTTGCACGAAGGATTTGTTTGACTTCCCATCGTGTAAATGTAGATGTACATGGATGAACAAATACCAGACGAGGGCTTCAATTAGACAGTCTAGAGGACCACTGTGTAGATATCAACATATGAAAGAACCCCTAACCCTAAATCACTCAATCTCTTGAATCAGGTGCCAGCCAATAATCAAAAGATACACCTCAAAAGGGGCAGCTACCGAAGTTCAACCCATCTCTGCGCACTGTCGACAGATATATATATACAAGCAATCATCAGATTCCATCAAGTTCTACGGTAGAAAAGGCTTTCCAAGATCTATAGAACATATTGAAAATATCTCAGCATGTCATTGTGTCGAGATAGCTACCTGAAAGAACACTCGACAGATTCGAAATATATTCCAAGGTTTCAGTTCTCAAAACAGCCTTCTTTTGACAAAGTCGGGAGGACTGAAAGTTGCTTCAGTAGCCTACATCCCATACGTGGACTGGAAATTCTCTTGTAGTCCAAGAGCTCCAACTATATTGTAAGCAATGAGACGGCACAGAGGTAGATTCACGCAGTAAAACTCGTTTTAAGCATCGCTTAACCGTCGATAAAGTATTCTCATTTTCTAAATACTATATAGAGACAGTTTCCGAAGCTTGTATTTCTCAATGTCGAGTATAGCTATTGTTTCTACTCAGCGTTGTGAGGCCAGAGTGCACTGTAGCACGTATTGCACCAAGGTCACGGTTCACGGCATCTTTACCAATTTCAAGCCGGACTTTGGCTTACCTTCTGCTTAGACATGACTGGCGAGCGTTTTCCCGTCCGCATTTCTGCCAACCTCCATGACCTCATTGTCGTTGTCGTCGAATGCCTTGTCACCGAAGGCAACTGCGATCTCTTCCAGATTATGATTCGCCGTCTCCACATAGTAGAACTGCGCTAGCGCGGCCGAGGTAAGACAGAAGCCGGCGATAATCAGATAGAAGTATCCACCAATACCGGCAAAAGCCTTCGGAGACACCATCCCAATCAAAAAATTGAATATCCAATTTGAGGTTGTGGCGAGGGCCATGCCCTTACTGCGGCCACGAAGGGGGAAGATCTCAGCTGGAAGAAGCCATGGCATTGGGCCCCAAGTGAAGCCATAGACGATGTTATAAAGCATGACGAAGGCGTACTGGCCGTTGGCTTTGGCATTGATGGGGATACGGGCTTCGGTAAACACACAGACGATACTGAGTAAGACGGCCATTGCTAGACCTGTAGTCTCGGGATTAGTACATTGGAAGAGGAGCGTGGAGAGATAACCAAGTAACTGACCTCCGAGAATGAGGAGCGGCCTGCGACCCCATCGATCGGCTAGATACCAAGTAACGATAGTGGCCGCGACGTAAGGAATTGCGTTGGCAGCGGTATAAAGGAGCGACTTTTCATCATCAAACCCGGCGGATGCTAAGGTGCTGGGAAGATAGAAGGATATGATGTTGATTCCGTTGAGCTGGGCAAACATCTGAGCAGTGATGCCGACAATAGTGCGCTTCCGGTATCGCGTGAACATTTCCTAGTAAAGCACTGTTAATACTCGAGTCCGAGACTACACGTTTACTGCAACACTCACTGTCCAAGTCGATTTTCCGAGCTTTATCTCGTAAATAACTGCCTCTTGAATCTGTAGAAACACCTGCTGGACGTGCTCCGCGTCCGTGTCGCCATTTGCATGCAAATCTGCGACTGTCTGAAGACTTTCCTGCATGAAGCCATTCTTGGCTAGCCATCGAGGGGTTTCGGGGAGGAAGAAAGACATGGCGATCAAAATGAACGAAAGTCCAACTTGAATGATAAATGGACCTTGCCAGGACATGTCGTCTGGGAGCAGGAAATAAAACCCGTAGTCGACCCAGCAAGATAACATATACCCTGCAATAAGGAAGGTATACTCAATGCCCACCATCAGACCTCTAGCATGCGGAGCTGCGATCTCCGTTTGAATGATGGGAACGGTCATCGAGAGAATGCCGACACCAAAACCCTGGATGGTGCGACCAACAATAAAGGTGGCGAACCCAGGAGCAAAGATCTGGATGAAGGCGCTCAGAAAGTATATTAAACCTCCAAGACGGACACATCTCTTTCGACCTGACAGATCGCCTAGCCGTCCTGCGAGAAGAGCGCCTACAGCAGCCGAGGCTTGCAGGCAGGCGACAGATATGCCTGTAATGCTGGGATCGATCCCAGCCGTGGTGCCGTCGGCACCGCCGTAGTCGCTGAAGAAGCGCTTCACGAAGACCGGATTGACGAGTAGGCCGGACATGATACCTACAAGCATCAGTACAAGTATGGAGTATGGACCAGAGCCAATTCAAACTAACCAGAATTATACCCGAACAGAGCATCTCCTAGACTTCCCAGCCCACAAGTCGCGTAAAGCAATAATGATCCCTTGAAAGGGTACCTAGCACTAATCTTCTTGGGCCTCAGGTTCCTCTCCAGCCAACCATCCTGTGCCTCAAGTTGGCTGGCAATGAGATTGGTGCGTTGCCTGAGGTCGGCATTTTGGTCTGCAGCAGAAATGTGTAGAGAGGTGGCCATGATGACAATCAGAATGCCTTGAGGGGGAAGCCTTTCGTGGAGATGCTTGAGGGATCACTTCTCGGAAGGGACGGGCTAGCAGTCTTTATATACCCCTGATCTTGTCAAACCCCGTGGGGAATGATCCCTCCATGCGTTGTTACCGGCGATGTGCTCGCATATGGCCATCGTGGAGAAGCTTAGCTTCAATGTGCAATCCCGGCTCAGGTCGACATCACCGGTGAAGCCGAGCCATTGTCGCGAAAAGAATCAACTACCGGATCGGAGTATAAAAGCCCCTTGTCAGGTACCTCTAGGTACCTCCAAGGTCAGGATGAAAGAGCGCTATACCCCATATGGTAAGGCTCTTTGTTTCTTCCGCCAGTGAAGTCAATGTCCGAAGCAGCTGCTCCACCTCTTACAGCTGCAAGATCCTCCAGCGAGGTGGCCGGCAGCTGGCAGCTCGCCCTAGCAGATTAACCTTGGAAGTCTTTGCGACCTTTGACCCGAATCGTCTTATGTTCGCCGCCTCGCACGTTTCCATATTACCTCATGCTGAAACTCGAAGGCTCCCATGACCGGCCTTGGTCTCTTGGCTGGGGTCGAAGCCGTCGGAACCGAGAGTAAGTGGAACCATTCTAAGCTACGTGTAGAGGCAAAAGCGTCATCAGATGTTCCGCCGGAACCGAAAAGCTACCTAGGTAGTCTACAATGGACCACTCATAGACGAGCCGTATTAGAAAACCGCAAATGAGGCGACGTTTTCCAGGGTCGGTATTGCTTTGAATATGTAGCCAAGATATGACATTATGAGACGGACAAAGGGATCGCATTTATCAAGTGTTTCAATAGAGGCGACCCCAGTTAGCATCCCAGAGCCAGAAAAGACTGTTTCCCCCTTGTTCCTCTGCATACCCTCGAGGCACCACAGCCTGGAAAGTTTGGTCCCCATGCATCTGCTCAAACGGCATTTGCCACGGTGGCTGCTGCTGTGTCTCTGAGCCGTCCAGCGTGTCCACCTCATGAGTCGAACTCAGAGTACATTCAGATTGAGGCGGTTCCCCATGGGGTGTTGGGAAGACTGCGATCAGATTGGTTAGCAAGACTCCGACTCAAATTAACGCCTGCCTCTACGTAGGGGATCATACACCGTTGCACAGATGCGAGACTCTCGTGGAGGCGCTGCGTTCGGCTCAGTTCCGACCACGATAGTCTAGTGGCCTGTTGATCGGACGTGTTCAGGGCGGCCTCCAGGGGAAGGCGGAGTGTATCTTCCACCGACATGAAGCACGCGTCTGTCCATGGGAGGGACCACTCCAGCAGGCATTGACATGACTGGGCCAAGCATAGCCTGTCCCTCTCGCTGAAGAAGCAGATAGACGAGGTTTTTGAGAACAGTACTGCACTGGCTAGATAGCGTTGACTGCTGCCCTAGTAGCTCCTGTAATCTGAGCACCCGCGTTATTGTTCGCTTGATCATCTGGGCTCGATCGGATAGTGGATTCGACAAGGCCACTGAGATGAGCACGATCGCTGCATGGAAGAGATTCATGGCCATGAATGCCACGAGGTGACTCTCTGTCGCAAGCTGGGCCAGTTGAGGCAACTCGGTCAGACGAGCGGTCCTGACTGCGGCACACGACCAATATTCCGAGCTTCCAGCTACTTCTCCTTCAAGCAGATCGCCTCCATGAACCGATGGTTCATCCGTGAGCGGGGTCAGAGTAGAGTGCTGCGTTTGGCCCGATGACGTTCCTGGCTCGGCAGAGTTGACAGCGTTCACAGACAGGTGCTCGACTTGCTGGGCTAGAATAGGTCGGTGCAGTACTATTAGTAGGTTATCATAGGTCAGTTGCAATGAGAGGGACTGTAGAGTATGTGCCCGACTGTCCCGTCTCGCGTTTTTAGGATTATAGTCTGTGCTCATGTCCAAAATCAAGTGGGGGGGTAATTGATGGCGCCAAGTGACGAGACTTTCTGTGACCTCCCTTACCAACAAGGCGTACTGCGAGTCCAAATGCTGTCTCTTGAACTGCGTGGAAAGGGAGCCAAATATGGTCTTCAGCACTGGTGATGCGGCGAGATACAGCTTACTTAGCTCAGTCTGGTAGGGCGAGTATTCTATGGTTAGAGACTCCCCGTGAGCAGGTTGTTCGACAAAATACGGCGACTCGGGCAATACAGCAGGCATGGCGATGTTGCAATCAGCGTCGTCTATGCTCAAGGGTCGCCCATAGGATATGGATGCGAATCTAACTGGTCAGTTGAATGTTCGACTGGGAGGGTGTCAAGCTTTTACCTGTCCCAGGTATAGATTGTCCACCACACCCGTTTGCGCTCCTCGATATCATCAGAGCTTCCTCGAACCGAGTTTCTATGGAGGCTCATGGCTTGCGCCATCTTGATAGTAGCACCTAGAAGGCCAAATGCCAGGTTTGGTCGGCCATGGTAAACATAATGAGAGCCTAGCAAGATGCAGGTCTGAATGGCTGGAATCGAATGATCGTCCATCAACTGGACAAGCCGTGACTCGACGATTTTCAGGAGATCTGCACTCCAGAGGCTCAACTCTGCACTGTCGCCTTGCACGGTCCGCTTGGACCGATACCAAGCTGCCATGCACAGAACCATGGACAATAATGCCAAAAACGGCACCTCTGCAGGATCTGCATAGCCGTCCTCAATTGAGCGCAGCTGTTGCCGAAACTTTGGTTCGTATATCACCAATGAGAACCAATGCACGAAATCAAAGTAATCCTCCAACAGCGAATATATCATCTCCTGGCTTGGAAACCGGCTACTCAGGATCGTGGATATCGGCAAACGTGTGTCACTGGCTCTCCGATGAGCAGTTCGTGCTTCACCTCTTCCGTCTGGGATTGCTGAAGTCTGGTGTTCATCGATGCTCTGGCTTCCGAGACGGCTTATCTGCCCGTAATTTTGGCCGAGAGGAACAATGGAATGGTGGGAGTTGTACTAACCATTCTCGCAATGCTCATAACTGAGTCCGCTACATGATAATCTGTGGGCATCCATGAACGCTGGCCACCAGCAAGTCCCGGCGCTCGGCTTCCGGTAGATGGCTGCGCTGCTCTCTCTGGTGCAGCATGCCTCGAAGGAACGGGAGGCTGTCGCGTGGGGAGCGTGGAAGTCGAGTCGTCATTGCCGTAACTGCGTCTCGATGGACTTCGTCTACGCCTGTAACATTGAAACAATTACCAAACACATTCACCAGGGGAACTGTAGCGACTGACTTTCGCGGATTCCTCCCATTTCCATGGTCATGGCCATTGGTACTGCTACCTGGAGACTCATCAATGGGTGCCGGATCACATGGCGCGTCGGCACGTAAACACAGTGAGCAGGGCCGAAAGGAGTCACACTGTACAGCCCGGTCAGTGACGATTCGTGATGCATACGGCCAAGCCCAACGTACTCGGCTCTTATTGCGTCGGCACCTGCGGCACGCATTCGAAACCCTCGTTGGCATCCGGCGGGTTGTATGTGGCGCCGGATCCCCTCCTGTCAGAGCCATCTCAGTAGGCGCAGACATTGAGACAGACCATTTGCCGAAGCGCACTGGCGGCTAACAGACCGTCCCCGGATGATGCGGGGCGTGGGGCGACAATGCGATGAAGATGATGCGCGGCGTATCTGGCTCAAGACCGGATATCTGTTCGAGAGGGTATGCGAGTGTCCCACGGACGGTATGCGTATGGAACCACGGCGACTTACGCGAAGGTAAGGAGCATTCGTTGGTAGCAAGCAACCAAGTGTTTTACCAGTGCCGAATATAAGCGCGCTCCAGCTTGCAAAGCCGCGCTCTCTCGCTATGATATACGATATCCTGAGCCCGGCACTTAAGCACCTACATTAGCCTCCGAGGTACAGCCTTGGATCTTGAAGTCTCACCACAGGTAGGATGTACCTACAGGTAGCGCCGACCCAGGCCCTGCACTTGTTGGGAACTGACCCACCCATTCCCGATTGACCCACTTACTTGGATCGGGGCCCCGTGAGCACCCACGCGGCAATTGGGCGCGGCAGAAAACAACAAATGCTGTCAAAACACCAAGTTGAAACATGTCAGGTATTACTAGCATTGGACCGCCACAAGCAACATCGACTACATTTCGCCTAGAGCTGAACTCGAAGATGTCCAGATCAACGATGAGCAGTGAGACGGCTGAGGGAGCTGCGCAATGCCTGCGAGTTCGTAGGCCAGCATTCCTCCTTTGTGTGCCTATTTTACAAGGATTTGAGGGGGGCTTCACGTGATAGTAGACGTGCCTTTGATCACGTGACCTGGTGATGGTCCCCTTGAAGGTGAAGGCTATCTGATAATAGCCAAGAGGACTTTTTTTATCAACAAGTCTTAAGATCCCTGGCCGTCTAAGATACGAAACCCTCCTTCCGAAACCCACTTGGCATTCTGAGTCTACTGATCATACAGTGTGGACGAGTCTCAGACATCAAATGTCTAAAGGGTAATAAGCTGGTTCTGAACGCGGAAATACGAACGAGGTCAACACCGTGGACTAACCCCAACTTAACAATGGTGAGGTCGCCATCAGATTACCTCAGAACTGTCATCTTTGCTCATCTTTGCTACAACAATTTGCTGTTCATCGATAATACTGTCAACTTTGAGATTGATATCTGGGAGTTTGTTGTATCGCTATTGCAAGAGAAAAGCACCATAGCAGCAGATATCAGCAACACAGACAAGAGAACGCTAATAGAAGAGATCGCGTACTACAAGCAATGGACCGGAAGCAGAAGATCGCAGTTGAAGTCTCTTCAAGAGCGCAATAGAGTTCAGATTAACTTTGTAAGTATGTTGAGCATGCTTTTGCGGCTTTCACTTACAGCTCTTAGATAACGAATTTGATTGCTCAAGAAGAGACCTCACAATCAAAAATAATCGGAGCTGTAGCCCTGCTTTTCGCACCAGCAAGCCTCGCAACGGTATGCATTCTTGAACTTTGTAGAATTGTCCATCAGAAGGCATTTTTCTGGCTCAAGAATATCTACCAAGTGTTCGAGAATAGAGCGTTTTTAGTGCAGGCCTGTTCGAAGTAGATAACAAATCCTGGGGGCCATATCTGATATCTACTCTGGTCACAACTTCTAATGAACTTCTTTTTAGTTGGAGCTACGTTCGAGGTTACCTACGAAGGATCAGTGCTTCTGTTAATAAAGTTGCGAACAAGAAGTTCACCCCGTCTTCAGAGATACGCAACGATCATGAGGTTGTTTAAACAGCCCAATGTCAGATTAATGCTTTTCGATTTGTGCTTGCGAAGCTACCGTGTAATTATATCTAAGTTAGGGCGAGAGGTGGTTGTATCAACATTGCGAGCTTGTCATAGTAGAAACTATCTACCATCTGCGGAATATCCATTTCTAGCTTTCCAGAAGGTCATAAGAGTAGGGCCGCAACGACTCAGTCACGGTAGAAATCTTCTCCGACGGGCACATTTGGCTCGTGTACCCAGTTGAGTAATCGAACGTGCCCTTCTGTATCAGCGTAAAACCTTATTTTCCAGTATATAGGAGGCTGATCGACCCATCGTCCTCTTGCGGTCAAGTAATTACGATCTCTAACCCAAACGAAGGTATCGCCCTCGTATGCTCCAGCTCGTATTCCTCGGCCTCAAGACCTTGCAATGCCCACGACAGCTTATCATTACACAGAGCCACGACGATCTTCAAGCACCGCTGGGCATTCCAGTAAATTCCGACATAAGCTGGCAGGGGCTTAGGGGGTTTATCATTCTGCCTTTCGCGCTCTAGAGCCTTAGCTGTGTCTGGGAACCAATCAAGTGTCCGAGACGCGGAGATTTTCGCATGAGCTATATAGTCATTAGGATCTGGACAACAAAGAATCTCCTCTATCAGCAGTTGGAGCACCCAATCAGCACAGTCGTTGAGTGCTAGAGAGTTGCTCAGAACAACTATCGACGTATCAATATCCGGCAGCATTGCAATTGCCGACAGGGCTCCCGGAAGTGCGCCCTGGTGCCACAGCACTGTTGTTAGGGCGACTCCCCTGCCTACCACGGGCATTTGCCATCTGGTAAAAGACTGGGATTGTTTCCAATATAACCCATGGCTCCAGGAAGTGTGACACGCGCAAGGCCGCATGTATACGTAGCAGCCGTTCTTCCCGCAGATGGATCCCGCATGGCGAGCTTGTAGGAGAATAAATGGTTGATTTGCTTGGCAGGAATTATGTCCTTTCTTTTGGTTCTGGTACTGGGCTGATTCCTGATGCTGCTGATGATCTCGGCGTAGATCTTGAGGAGGTCTTGCACACAACTGAACATGCTCCCACTGGAGCCGCCGAATAAGCCTTCTCCGGATTTGACAGTTGATATCTCGCAGGATGTGCCGTTATCCAGTGTATTGTACGCCTTTGAAACATTCTCTGTCTCTTCTGGAGGTCGTTTACAGAACGTCCGGCGCATGTCCAGGGGGCCGAAGAATTGTTCTCGAAAAATGCCGGCCCAGGAGCCACGAAACTTGTCCAGTATCAGACCGGTAATCTCATATCCGGTGTTATTATAATACCATCGCTCGCGAAATGAGAAAACTGGAACTTGGTCGTTGATGAACTTCAAGCTATCCTCGTGAGCTATTAGCATGTTGTTCTGACTCCCAAGCCGAACATTTGGGATTGACATTCCCGTCCGGTGAGCAAGAATATCAATGACCGTCATGCATTTTCTCATTTAAGCATCCTTGATAGCCAGCTCGGGGAGTATGTCTTTCATTGGCGTATCCCATGTAACCTTTATCTCTGGATCATCTACCAGCAATGCCATGGCCAGGGCTGTGAGCATCTTTGTTTGAGAGCATATTGGAAATATGGTCTGTTCGGTTGGGGGCAGCTGGTGATTGACATCGCGGAACCCGAAATTGGCATAATATGGCTGTTCGTCCTTGCGGTATACGCCCAATGCGAGCCCTGCAGTGCCCGCAATGCCCATTAACTGCTGTATCGTAGGGTCAAGCACACGAAGACGTTCTTCAATACTACGGGTTTGGCCCATTGTAGAAGCTTGACCTTGCTACCATGCTAGTGTAGAGTTTCAATGTTTTGATCGAGGGCCGCTCTCAGGTGCCATGTTCTTGATGCGACCGAATGCAAGAGTGTGCGAATGACGAGCATGGGTTATATGTAGTCGACTGCATCGGTTGACGTGCTTAGCCGAATTGGGGCGTGTGTTTGCAGGTCTAGACACACCATACCAGGGATAAGAGGCAGCAAGGTGTTGATGGGCCTGGGAGGCTTATGCGGGTAAGCCCAACCAAGAAGAGCCATGCCGTATGAATGAATGAACATATTTGTGGTCTGGCTTGAAGCGCCCATTGAGGCTGGCTATTCCAGGTCTCATTGACTGTAGCACTTGTATCCAAGACATCAAAAAAGAGTGTTCATGAACCGTTTATTAGCTACCCTACTCTACCATTGACGAACATGCAGGCAGTAGTGGGAGTACTGAACCCAACACCGTGGCCTAGCCGCTTTGATTGCTCCGTGACCATGTCGGGAACAATCAGCAACAATGGCATTTCACTTTACTCGTCGTCCTCAACTTCCTCTTCCTCGACTTCTCCTCCTTCTTCTAGGCCGCCATTGGTATCCGGCTCGGCTTCGCCATTCGTCGCTTCGACAACTACGCCGCCCTCCTTTTCCAGCCGTAGCCACTCATCCCATTCAGGGAACAGCTCCTCGTCGCCCTCGGCTCCAGGAACACCGATCATCTTGGCTACGCGGCCCTTCTTGCCCTTCTCGAGCGAGTCCTTCCACTCCGTAACAATATCTGCCGTCAGGCTAGGCTTGTATGTCTGTGAGAAGAGAACGGCCTCAGCCAGGCGGCCAGTCTTGGTAAGGATGCCAACACAACCCGGTACATCGCCGAGCAGCCACTTGCAAGTGAAAGCAACGTTGTGAGCTCCGGCTTCCTCTGCCTGACCGGCGAGCTTCTCCAAGCCCTCACGGTCGGAAGTTGATGAGTAGACCAGTAGTAGGGAGCCAAGATCCTTCGCATGTGTGAAGCATTCAGTGGCCAGACCTACATCCCAAGCAGCTAGGGCTGCATCACCTACAGTCTTCCACCTCTCAACGACATCGGCCTCTCTAGCTAGCTCGAGAGCAATGTCAAGATGATTCAGTGATAAGGCGAGCTCGAATTTGTGGTCAGGCTCCGTTGCAACCTCCAAAGCAAGTTCCTTGTGACCTTGCCCCTCGAGAAAACGGGCAATCTTGTTGAGCTGATCTTGTGGAATTGAGGGGAGGAGTTCCTGGGCCGTCTCCATATCCTCTCTGAGAACGAGTGTCTGATACTCGAGCACTGGCAGGGAAAGGGCAAATGATGTGACGTTTACATCCTTGTCGCAAAGGTAGATACGACTGTCGCGCTGGATGTATCCGAGGATATACATTTGCTGATCGAAATGAGCGACTGTGTATGTCTGATCACCGACCAGGTAATTCAAGCGATTGGTAGCGTTCGTATAGATGAAGCAGTCGCCCACCCACTCGCCTGTCCTCACGCTGCGGAACGTTAGTTAATTCAAATGATACAGGCTTTTTGCGGTTCACTTACCTTTCACTGATATCGGTGATCACTTCGAAGGCTGCCTCAACACCATCTTCCTCAACCTGACCGGATTGGACAGCTGAAACATAGTTGTCGCGAGAGAAGCGTAGGACGTAGAAGGTATCGTCACACGCCAAGGCAACGAGCTCCCCGCTATCTGACCAGTAGACTTGGCGAGGCTCGACTTCAATCCGGCGTACCAGCCCGCCAGTCTGCCAATCGAAGAAAGAGATGCCCTAGGACAGAATCAGTATGGTCCTAGCCAACGCAAAATGAGCTACGGTGTTCTTACGCCTTGCCCCTTGATACCAAGCAGTACTCCTCCAGTCAGTCCATCAGCAGAGCCAAAGTCTAATGACCCGGTCTTCTCGACGAAGTTCTTGAAGATCTTGACGCTTGTTGTTGACTCGCGAATCCTATCGTGCATTAGTGAATATTGAGCCCAATAGCTGCGCCTGGTACCTACGCAAAGTCATTGCTGTTGTCTTTGGAGCCCCATACAAAGTCGAGCGCAGAGCCGAAAGCCTTGTTGCGCCAGGCGAGTGCTGTGTAGATGATGTACCTGATCCATGATAAGCCTCTATAAGAATATAGAATGTCACTGGGAAACTTACTCGCCATCGCCACAAACAGCCACGAATCGTCCATTCGGGGAGTGAATAAGAGTCTGAGGGTAGACTTCGCAAGTACCGAGATCTTTTGTGGGAAGATTGATGGGTTCGTTGTCCTTGACGGCAGAGTCTAATGTTGTCAGTTTAGTCCTTACGACGACCGATGTGCGGCTCAAGTCTTACCGCCCTTGATGATCGATGAGACAACCTCATTTTGTCTCGCCCAGATAAGCTTGCCTGAGCCATCGATCGACACAGCGGGTTCTTCGCGTCCGAGCTAGTTAAATTAGCATGGCAGAACGTGAAGAGACGTTGGAGCTCACGAACCTTGATAACAACACTTCCCTCATCAAAGCCAAAACTCATAACCTGCTTTGACTTATTGTAGCTAACCGCCCATGCTCGCTCGAGACCTGGTATATGATTAGTTACATTCAATTCAAAATCAAGAAGGTACTCACCGTAGTTTAGACTCTGTTCGAAACGATATGTGTTTGCGTGCCATATTCTAACTGTAATAGACAGTTTTAGCGCTCTGACTTAAGGGGTAGCCGCCAAGAGGGGAATCAAAAGAGACGTACTGGTTCCATCTTCCGATCCCGAAACAATTACGGGAAGTGAGGGATGATAACAGGCGAAAGAAACATTGTTCGTATGCCCCTCAAGTGTGGCAATGAGTGACTTAGTAGTGTAATCCCACACCTTGACGGTCCGCTGCAAGATGGCATTAGTATCCATTATAGGGCTGTTGACGGAAAAAGGAATGCTTACGTCGTCGGAGGTTGTTAGGAGATACGGCTTATCGGAATGGGGATAGTAGTCGACGTAGTTGACACCCTTCGTCTCGTGAGCCTCCAAGGTCTGATTTGGTGATGAGCTACCGAGGCTCCAGATCTTGACCCTATATACTATTATTAACACCATTCCAAACATGACCAACTAAAGTACTGCGGCAAGAGCATGTCACAGCTCACGCCATTGAAGTAGCAACTCACGTTCTGTCCAAGCCTAGAAATAGATTAGCCAGGGCTTTCGTAGATCGGTGTTAGCTTGAAATTAACCTACAGGCTGATGCGAATGTGTTTGTATCTTTCGGATTTATGGCCAGACTCATAACGTAATGGGAGTGTCCCTCTAAACAGCCGTAATATTAGCATGTGACAAGTTTTGGGGAGCAATTTTCAATAAGGCCCAAAGGACATCTGCATCGAAGATTCACTGACCAAATACTTGAACACACTTCCATCCCTTTTCCCAGTCCCATAACTTGATGGCTATTATGTCGGGTCAGTTTACGTCGCGGAAGGGACTTTGATGTGATTTAGGACGCACTCATGTCATCACTGGCAGTCTAAACTTCAATGTCAGCTTGAACCAAGTCATAATCATTCCATTCAACTCACCAATACAAAAGGCTGGGTAGGATGGACCACGATGGCTCGGATGTAGTCAGGGTGGGCTTCGAAAGAGGTGATGCGCTCGGAAGTGTTGCTAGAGACACCTTGTCAGCGTGGTGCGCAAACTGCGAAGTGGGCGATATCACCTACTAATTGTAAACGCGAAGCTGAAAGTCATCGCTGCCACAGACTATCCAGTTCTTCCTCGCAATGAATCGTCCAGCTCGCACGGGGACATCGGTGAGCTCGAAGGTCTTAACAATCTCTGGAAGCTAGTTAGCCGGCGATGTTCATTCCAATTTCTCGGTCCTCCCCCAGGAAGGCTGTATCATTGTATTGGGCTCGGGGAGACTAACGTTGCGTCTCGTATGACCATATGTAGACATGTCCTGCAATTCATTAGCATCGTGATGCCAGCTACTTCTTCGATTCCAATGATGTTCTGTTAGAAGCTGAGAGACATATGCTCCCAAGAAATAACATCATCGGTCGATATGCTCGGGCTATTCGTACCTGAGTACAGGGTGGTCAAGATCCAGGGTTCGTGAGGATGCACATCAATGCCCTTGACTCTTTCGCTCCTGGCGAAGAGTTGCCTCTGTAACAGGAATCTGGTCAGCCAGCACAACCTACGGCGCCAGTGCACAGTGTCCATACCTTCACGTCCAGCCGCATTGTGCCAAATCTTACTTCCCGCCGTGGGAAGCTGTTGTGGCGGTGTCGTTGTTGTCGTAGTAATGCTTGGGGGAGCTCCAAGATCAACGCGGGGTGCTGTAACTCAGGGGAAGGGCGGCCTTCATCGACGGGAGGACTTCTTGCACAGGACGCGCTGCTCGGACGCACTTCTAAAATAAAACGCAGCGCAATTGACCCGAGGGCTGTCGATTCGAGGGGTCGTGAGATGGCGGCGATGGCGGGTTGCGGTGTGGGCTGTCGTTGACAAGGGAGCTACCGCCACGTACGTTTGTACCCTTATTTCGAATTTCGAGGTGTTCCACCAAATGTGGTCTCTTCGAAGCTCAGCCTTGTGGCCTGAAAATGTAGCTTCACCTCAGGCATCAAGTGAGTAGGGGGTGTAAAGTACAGAACACTAACAGAACACCCTACTCTTACCCGCTAAACCAATAACTTCAGACTCACTAACCACACACCCCCGGTACTGCCACCAAAATACTAGGGTGAATTTACTAATGCGGGATACGAGACACGATCCTGCAAATGGGCTTCTCACATCCAAAGACATACGATCATCTCACTTGAGTTCACTTATTTCCCCTCATTTCACTTTTGTCATCATCAAATGCAATCAGTTTGCAGCAAGAATCACTTTCGCTATGCTAGCTGCGTCTGTACAATACATGAAAAGTATTCAAATTTCGATGACTGGCAAGTTTCTCGTGCGAGTCTCGATGATGGTATCCAGAAATGTCTTAAAAAGTGTATCCGCACAAATGGAGGCAAATGCTGCGTCCAACGGCCTAGCCCATAATACAGGGTGACCGATATGCCGATAATAAAACCCACAGAACAACGCCGTTTATCCCAACGGAGGACGATGATGCGTCCGTTTGCTAACCCATGTCATGATCACATACATTGATAAGAAAAAAAAAGGGGGGATGGAAAGGCGGAAGAATGAAATGTCATTCTTGACAACCCATTTACTCCTCCGCATCCTGTTGTACCCGCTCGACGATCTGGACCACCTTGGGGAACAGCTTCTCGTTAGGGGTGAGGCCGCAGACCTGGGTCACGACGGTGTGAGGGTCGTGCTCAGCCATGATCTTGGCGAGCTCCTTGCTCTCCTCATCCTCCTCGACGTTCTGGAAGCGGAAAGCCATCTCGGCGGCCTCGAGCAGAGCGCTGCAGTCCTCGTCCTTCTCGGCGAGCTCGGCGGCAGGTCCGATGAACCGCTCCTTGCGGCTGAGCTTTCGGAGAGGGGCGCGGCCAACACGCTCAACAGCATCCTCGAGATGAGGGTTGCTGATACGCATGATGATCTTCTTGACATAAGCGGCCTGCTGGTCCTCCGGAATACCGTGCTTGGCGGTGATGAGGTTGGAGGTGTTGATCAGAGCCTTGCGGACTTCGGCGTGAATCTGCTTGTCTTGCAGGGCGTCGTAGACGGTGCGCTTCTTGCGGTTGTATCCGTGGTAAGCAGCGGTGGCGTGGCCAGTGTTGACAGTGTACAGCTTGCGCTCGATGTATGGCTCTAGGTTGTCAACCCAGTTGATACCCTCAATGGACGGGACGGAGTGGTCCTCGAAGGGAGTCTTCTCGACAACCCACTCGTAGAACTTCTCCAACTTGACGTCCAGGCCAGCATCGGGGTCCTGAGCGGGAACAATTCTGTCGATTGCCGAGTTGGCATATCGCGCACGCTCGTGGTGATCCTCGATGCGGTGCTCCGGGGTGTTCTTGGGAGACTTGATGTGCTCAGCTAGGGAGTCGGTGGCGTTGATCATGTTCTCGCAGGCAATGACAGCAAGCGGGGTGGAATCATTCGATCTCCTGTCAATGCCCTTGGCAATGACTGGGGCGATAAACTTAAGGATGTTGGGGCCGACGGAGCAGGTGACCACGTCAGCGGTTGCGATCTCGTCAATCAGATCGAGCTCGTGGGTCTTGGAGTTGATGGCGCGGTAGTTTGTGATGACGTTCTCCGTTGTACCTTCAGCGCCGACCTCAATGACCTTATATGAGGGCTGAGCGTTCAGCTTGTCAACGACGGCATCGACGACATCAGCGAAAACGACCTCATAGCCGCTGTTATGCAAGAAGCATGCTACGAAACCTCGACCTGGAGACCAAAGATCAGTACTCTGTTCACTCGAGACATGCGATGCCAAGAACTAGTGAAGAGCGAGGAACCTACCGATGTTGCCGGCACCGAAGTGAACGGCCTTCTTAGTGGGCTGGTTTTGCGATGCCATTTTGAAGAATAGTGTGGATGTGTAAGTATGAAGAAAGAAGCAACGGCTTGCGGTGGATAGCGTTTGATATACAGCGGACTCGGGGCGAGCAGCTGGGATGGCCAAACTTGCGTCAACGGCGATGATGATGTTGGGTGGTGGTTGTTTGGATGATTCGAAGATGTATGTAATAAAGATGGATGGTGGGGTGAAAACAGTGGGATGGTGAAGTCAAGCTGTCAATCTAGCGGACGATCTCGACTGAAATATGGGGTAAGTTGACAAGAGAGTTCAGGAACGGAAGGCAATGGGGGAAGAAGTGTCTTTATATGTATCGCGGGAGAGAAGGGGAGTCGTGAGTCGTCGTTGCAGCGTAGTGCCGTTTGTAGTCTGGGACTGGCGTCAGTGTTGACCAACCGGCGAGGGTTGGAAATGGAAATCGATGAGGTATGTACCCCCTTCTACCCTTGTCCTCCTACGGTTAGCCTGGTATGTGCGTATCCCCTGGAAGGTACCTAAGTAGGTACCTTCGTACCCTCTTAGGTTACCCTCTTTCTGCGCGCAGTGGGTGGCTCATACCGTCCACTAACGGGGACGGTACCGTACAGCATTCGTACAGTACAGAAATACCTTACCTCTTCTCGAGTTGCGGATGTAGTCTTTGGGCAGATAGACCTTCCTACTTTTTCTCATAACCTAACACCACCTGCGCATACCGCTTACATCACAATCCAGAGGCCGATTCTTGGGAACCTCATCTGGGCATCCTACCTATAGGTAGTACGTATCTCTGCGTTTTGTTCCGCCTCCAACTTCCTTCTAAACACAAAAGTACCCCCGCTAACAGCCTGCGGGGTTGCTTGGGTGGCAGTTGGCACAATAACGTTAAGTGGCGATAAGGCAGTACTCTCTCTTCTCACTTTGCCCGTTCCCCCGTCTGGCCGAAGCATCACACGAAAGGGCTCCCTAGTGAAACGGACCGGCTGTATTGAAAACTGGGGCAGCCAGCAGAAAGATACCAATCGCTGCTGCTGTTTGAGTGAATTAGCGCAGCGACGGTGCAGTACTTGCAGTAGGCTGGGACAGGCGGGCAGGCTTAGGGCGTCGCTCCGACGTTCAATGAGGCCTTCCGTCATAGTCGTTCGGTTTCGCTGATGTCAAGATTCCTGCGCGGCCTGTGGTTGGCTAGAAACAGGGCGGACTCGCCTGGCAGTGCCCCCCCGGAGCCCCCCTCCTCCTACGCAATAATGGGAGGGGAGGTCTGGACAGGCACGACGCCTGCTAATGTGAAGTCATTGGGCGTTTCTGGTTGTTACGCCGTAGCGCACACACGCTGCAATATAGCGCCCCACCATGCCACCGCACGCTGGAAGCACGCCACACCAAGCACGCTGGTGCTGCGAGGGTCGCCAGAGACTGACATCAGTGTGCTGGATTGTGTTTCCGTACTCCCGTGCCGCTACTATTGTAGGGCTATAGTTGGCACGCTGAGGTACTGCAGCACGGTAATGTGCCAATGTGCAGTGTGCATTGCGATACAGCAGAATACAGGTATTTCCAAGGCAGGCGTATTGCAAATGGGAAAGGATTTTCCGAGCACACATCAGTTCTCGCTTTGCTGCATCCATCTTTCCCCCAACGAAACGTCAAGTGCATGCATGAAAGTCGCAGGAATACATTTGGGAAGGTACCTACTTTCTTGCGTCGGCTTGGCGGCCGGACGGCAGGAAGGACCCGGGGGACATTGAGACATTGAGGTGTTGGTAATGTGTAATGTTGTTATCGTGCCTTCCTTTGTCAGTAGAGTAGTGCCCCATATTCTTCCTTTCAACTCGTCTAGTAGACATGTTGCAAAAGGCAGTAGCGTAGGTGTGGTGCCTTGGCGAGTCCACCCCGAAAATACAGTGCGGAATCCGCAACATGTGGCAAGCCGCATGAACGAAATTTCTTGCTGGGCCGCTGTCATAGGCCGCTTGGGGGGACGGAACGCCCGTGTCCATTGTCGTTCACTGTATCATACTGTGTAACAGGCTCGGTTACTGCAGTTTACTGACTCACTCACTCGCACCAGTGCCCAGCTCAGCCCAGGCATACCTAACGTTATGCCTCCCTCGCTCCTTCCCGCGCAATGGACGCTGGAAATGGCCCAGGTTGCTTACTCGGGAAGGCAGGTACTGTACATACCTCGAGAGCCTTCTGTCAAATTTGATACCGCCTCGCTTACACCTGATGCTCTGTAATGCCATTCTCGCGCGCCGTCGGTAGCATATCACCTGCATCCTGCACTCTGCGTGCTTATATTGATTGCCTGCCGATTTCATCCCGCGGTGAGATATCAGAAGTTGCCTTCACCTGCAAAATCTGCCGGGTGTGGGCTGTCACGTCGCCTGTACGAGTCACCCCAGATCATCGCTGAGAGACATTGAGGGTCGGGTCTTTTAGGGGGCTGCTTGAGGGGTTGAGGGGATGCATTTGGGGACCACCCCACCATGTACCGGTATCTCACTGATGCATAGAAGTTCCGGGCTGGTGGAGAGATGTGCCTACTTGCAAAACACCGGCCCAGGCTGCTCAGCATCATCCTAGTGGTCCAGAATTTGTTCGCTCTTCTCGAGGACGAGCTCAGTCTGAACAAAAACATTCCACTTCACCAGGTTCCCTTGGAGCGGTTGTTACCACTGTTCGGCAGTTCATAGATCTCGAGTTGTGGTGGTAATCTTTGAGATGATAGCGATCGGGTCGCTACCTTACACCTGAAGTCAAAGGGGCTTGCACCAGAGTCCTTACACATAGGTAGGTAGCTCTTAGGTGCAGATGGTGCACACTCTCTCAACGGCAGGCACGACCTAGGTAATACAGTGCAAAGACCAGCAGTACTGTACAAAGAGTACTGACGTTTGTTAATGAAGGGTGCAGGCGTTATTATACAGTAAACCGGTCGCTCCTCCCCTTCTTGTTGGTGAAACGCACTATCGTCTGGGTCTGGGTCGTGCACCAAGCATATCCAGGCAGTAAAGTGATGTTGCCTCCTTCCCTAACTTCACCTAGAAGAGACGGGGGGGCACTCCTCACGTCTCTCAACAATAGCGTCTTGATGATCTCACACTCTTCATCTCAAGCAAGATAACGCAATGTGCGTTCATTCTTCAGGGTTGCCTTTCTGCGTCTCTTTTTTTATGCTCCCATCAACCAAGATAATACACGACTCCAGGTTTCTCCTCTCGCTCCCTTCCGACATGCTTACAGTGCGTTAGACAATTTGGCTCGCTATAGCACTGCCCCGCGGCGTCCGCTGTTAGGGATGCGCTGTCCCGCTGGATATGGCTCTTTTCAATGCCCCTCAGCGTTGACTTATTGCCTTGGGGTTGGATTCAAGTGGGATTCTGCATGCCTGAGAGACCGCAGTCGTCGTCCTCAAACAGCGTCGCGCAACTTGGCTGTCGTCATGGCCCATAATTCCGATATCAAACGCCCCTTGTTGAGCACATTGAGCGTATCTCATGCGCCGCCAGCCCTCCTACTCATTGGGTTTCCGACCGCTCACTGGCCCGTCTGCTGTGGTCCGCGCCGTGTCGTGCATGTTAGTGCACGCCTGGGCAGGGTCCGGCGGCTCAAGCAGCCCACCCCGGCGCACCATCCCTGGCATCTTGGCCAAGGGTCTTCCGCCCTGTTCGCGCACCCAAGGGTCCGCTCTTGGAGATCGCCACGCCGATGACGACAGGGCTCCACAAGATCGCCCTCCCTCCTCGTTGAGGGCACAGAGATAGAGATGCGGATAGTACCTTGTTAGCCGGCCGGAAGAACTCTAGAGACGCAGCAACGCCGTCTTGGCCGTGTACGTCCACACGGCCCGCACTTTGAAGTTTGATTGGCGTGCGCCAACAGCGCGTGGCTGCCATTCCTGAGCGAGGGAAGAGCATGAATTCAATCGGCTATCATTTGTCTTCTCGTCTCAGCGGTGAACCAGAGAAAGAAAGGGTCCAAAGGGTCTTCGCGGGGTCCAGCGACCCCTTCCACAGGCCACCAGCCAAACCTCATCCGGCATGGAGCACCGCATCACCTCTACTGAACTACGGTCATGATATTACATATGCCTCTTTCAATAAGATAACAGAAGAGCCGGTTGTCTCTTGATACGACTGCATCCACCTATGGGAACAGCCCTAGGTGTACATGTACAATGCAACGACAGGTAATGTGTTGGGGCGACGCAAAAGCGTTGTTACGTGGAATTATCGCGCTGTGGGAGACAACTGCAGCGACACTTCGTGCCGCCGACCATTTCACCGGTCATTACGCCGCTTCCGCCGTCTTGCTTCCCGCTCCTGCTCCTTGGGTTTGATCGCACATAACTAGAGCCTCGTCAAACCCTGTGCTACGAATCAGGTCGCTTGCGACTCTTCAATGCACCTTCGGGTTACAATGAGCTTGATCTTGCTTGTGCTCCCCTTCCTATCGGCTACGGCGTCAAGTGGCCCCAACAGCGGTACGGTACAGCATATACACGCCAAGTCAAGTTTGATGGGACAACCCCTGAGAGACACTGTGGTTCTCAAACGTGCTACTGCGGGATATAGCAGCTGCAGCCATCCATCATCCCCTCTCACGATGAATTTCACATGCTCAGAATATTCTCAGGCAAGGGCATGTGGTCACCGCATACTTTCGCGAAATACCGCTCGCCGGTCCCTCTTTGCAGTTCCTTGAGAGAAAGTCCTGGACTTGTACAGCATCCTCCTCCATCAAAGCGGGTGGGAGTAAACCTCCACTTACCTGCGTCTTTCTGCCTGCAGCTTATCTCAGCCAAATGTGACATCCCCCGCTCACATGCTTTGTATTCTGCTCACATGTCTGCCGACAAGCTGCTATCGTCAGACTGAGGAGAATTTCCAAAGAAGTCAGAAAGCCCCTCGTGCTCCCCTGTCGCTCTTGCTCGTGTTTATCTTTGGCCTGAGGAGGTTCAGAGATCTCAGAACACAATCTCATCAATCGTGCAGCGGCTCAATCACTGGGCCTGCTGT